GCAGTACAGTGTTCGGTGCCAGTTGAGCATGTGTCAGCTTGACTGGTGCCGTTGGTGCCGACTTGGATCTCTCAGACTGTGACGACACTGATAATGACACTGGTGCTGCCAGGCATCGCTATTGTAGATGGTTGTGGTGCCACCCCTTGCAATGGCGTTGTCAGTGCCGTGGAGGAGGAGGTTGGCTTGTATTTGCCCCTCGACTCCTCAACCTTGCTGGCAGAGGTCAAGGTGCAGGCAGTGCCGGAGGTTCCTCGTGCCTCAAAGGTGCTCACATTCGATACGGTCAGCACCAAGGACAGTGATCATGCAGGAGATAGTTTTCTCTTTAACATTCTCCCAGCAGGGAGGATGTGGATCATTTCTTCGGGTTTTTTGAGGAAGAATGTTTTTGTCACATCAGATTACAAGGTTCCCAGAGTCTCTCCTGTCGAGGGGCCCTGTTGTCCGGAGTCAAAGGCTAGTTGTCGGGACTTCTCAGGACAATAAGTTTTAGGCAGAGATCTCTATCACACCTAGCCCTGGCCTTGAGGTTGCTGCAGTGAATCCACTTTTGCAGTATGTGCAACTTCCCTAAGCAGCGGACGCAGAGTGAGTGGCCATCAGAAATTGGCATCGTGTCCTTACACAAAATGCATCTTTTAAAGCCTGGTGAACCAGGCATGTTTTTAATGTCCCTCGCTGAGGTAATTTTTAAACAGAAAGAAAATGAAAGGTTGGGGGGGTGGGTTTGAAAGAAGAAAAAGGAGACTGAAAGCTACCTAAACTCTTAATGAACTGAAACTTAACTGTCACTGAAAAACTATTCCTACTTATTTTCCTAGTTTGTCACTGACACCGCTACAGAGCTCTGCCTCAGGCCGAGAACGGTTGAGAAATAACTGAAGGGCTCAGATTGCACGCGCGTTAGATGAGGCACCAAAGGCACCGCGAGATGACCACTATGCATGCGCGACCAAGATGGACACTGCCAACGAAAATCTCCCATCAACGACGCTGGGTTGCACCGACACCAGAAGTGGTGCACTCACAGGGACAGCACTCGAAGAAGAACCTGATGTGCCATCTGTGACAAGGGTGGATATCTACATGAAAATACGCCTCTTTCATGTTGAGAGCTGTGAAACAAATGTCTCTATCAAAGGACAGAATTACCGATGTCAGTGTGACCATCCAGAATTTCAATTTGCAAATAAAAATTCTGCATTGGATGTCAAAAATGGGTCTCCATCCTCCCTTTTTCTTGGGAATCAGGAAATACTGAATAAAACCCCTTTTCCCTGATACTGAAGTGGGACTCATTCTCTTCCCGCTCTCCTAAAAAGAGATTCTATCTCCTGAAGGAGGATCTCTTTGTGAGAGTGGTCCCTGAAGAGGGATGCATAAATGGTTTTTGGAGGGATGATGAGGTGAACTCAGTGATATAGCTGGAATGGATAATATTCAACACCCACTTGTCTGCAGTTATCACATTCCAGTTCTGGGAAAACTGTGCTAGGTGGCCAGCAAAGCGGACACCATAATCCAGTAAAGATGGCATCAATGAAGGTTCTCAGCACTCAAGATCCCATCAAAGAGATCTTTTGTCTGGGGGATAAGGTTGGGTGGATGTAGAGGAAATGTTAGGAGCAATCAATCTAGATTTTCACACCCTCTGTTGTTTACGAGGCAGCTTAGAATATCGCTGGTGACTGAAGGGTTGTGGCAACAGGCTGGGCTTGTACAGCTGCTTGCAATATTTCTAACAGCGCTGCTGTACATGCATCCTGAAAGCAGGGTTGTCCTGGAGTCTTTTAGCAAATGCAAAGACTGGCCTGTCTTTTAATTGAAAAGGTTAGTTTAATGAAAGGCAAGTTCTATCCCATACTTTGGACCGCCCCAGGAAACCCAAAGAGTATATCCACAATTCATAGTGATTTGTACAGAGGTTCTGGACACCAACATGCCCTCATCAAAAAGGTCTTGAAATTGAGTCCTATCTTCTTGTGGGAGTTTATTTTTGAACTCCAAGCACTTCAAATAGTTGTTAAAATCATATCTGGACAGCAGCACTTAGCAGTTGAATGTTCACAATTCGAGGTTAGTGGTTGTGAATACCAATCTCCCCTCCCCAGAAGGTCCAAGCACTTGGCCTCTTTATCTGCAGGAGCACCCCTTGGGAGCTGTGGCCTGGTGCTTTCAGTGGCTGCCTGACCAACCAATGAGTATGGAGCAATGTCAGTAAATAAGAACTCTGTTCCGTTAACTGGACGACATATTGTTTCTCTGCCCTCTTGAGTACATGTTGCCAGGCTGTGCTATATGGCTGTTCCAGGATGGCTTCATTCACTGAGAACACTACCAGACTAAATCCTACAGGCTGCATGATGTTCAGGAGCTTGTGGTGTACCCCTTGAACCTCTTCTTGAGGTCCTGGAGCTTCTCTGATACCATCCACAACAGCTCTTGAAATTGTCTGTGATCATCCAGGAGAGAGAGTAACATTAGAGCAACTGACTCCTCAGAAGATGAGGATGATACCCTGTCAGTACCAGTAGGACCAGCGGTTCCAGTTCCTTTTTCCCCTTTTCCATGGGCTCTGGGGGAACCTCTGGCTGATCTCTTGGAGAAGGTTGATGAGACTCCCAGTAGGACAACATGCAGTCATGATACCCGTATATACAAGTCCCATGGACCCAAAGTAAGGGCAGCTCAAGGAGTCGAAGGTAGGCTGTGGAGGCCCCCTGGATGCCACTGGTCCTGAGGAGAATGTTCCAATTTACGAGGCTGGGATGTGGCCCAGCAGATTCTCAATCCCTCCTCTGGGCTGACCTCTCTCAGTTGAGGTGATGTTGGCTCTTCAGACACATCCAATTCCCCTGAAGTGAAAACATTGGGTGCATTTCCATAGGCAGTGTCGGTGGTCCTAACTGAGTGGGGATGCAACAACTACTAGAGGGGAGGTTTGTCCCTTATCTTGTCCTTCAGTTGTTGGGGTCAAAATCTTTCTGCTGGGAGCTGGTTCCATCATTACTGGAGATTATGGATCCAAAGGACAAAAATATCCTCCGGAGTGATTAAAGTCTGTATCCTTTTAGGGGAGTGCAGTCTTGTCCCTCTGCACCACTGGAGCCAATGTGATTGATGGCTCCTTATGAGATCTTGGCAGTACAGACAATGTGCTGAGGTCTTGCTGACTTTTCTTGGTTGGTTCTGACAGTTCTCCATCCTTCAGGTTCTGCTGCCTAATCCTGGCCAGTATTGGAGTAGATAGCACAGATGTCGAGGCTGGTACTGAAGTACTTCTGCTCTTACACGCCTCTTACAGAGCCGTAAGTCTTAGATGGACCTAAATCCATGGGACCAGGGTGATAAGACTTGCCTGACTTCAAAGTCAGGGAGGGATCCCCTCTTTGAGGTGAATTTAGAGGGGGATGTGCTCCTGTGCTTACGGAAGTACTTCCTGCTCTTCTGGGGAGCCCGGGGAGAAAGGTCTTTGGCACCGCTCTTTCCTGCTTCTGAGTCAGACATTGTGGTGCTAGGAAGCACACTTCTGGCTACCTCTACTAGATATACAAGGGGATCCCCCAGCCCGGGTCTGACTAAGGCTTCAATGCATGCTCCATAAAGTTTTTCCTCAGCCTGAATTCCTGTACTTGCCAGGTTTGGCTGGGAAAAGAATGGCAGATAATCATGTTGCAAAGTGCAGTAAGGTACCACCGATGATCGTTGCTAACCAGAAAGGAGTGCCGGCAAGAGATACAGTTTTTTAAAGCCCGATAATCTGGGCATAATCTAACCCCATACTGGGAAGGGCTCCCAGATTTGGGGAGAGGATTTCTAACTAGCTATACTAAGCAAACTAACTAGATAACTATAAAAAATATGTACAATATTTACAGGTTGAAGACAGAGGAGCAGCTCTGGACACTGAAGGGCTCTGTCTCAGAACATCCAGCAGTACAAAAGAACCGGAAATGCCGCCAGTCCACACTGCCCCTTATACTCTCAGTGGAGAACACAAGGAGAGCAAAGGCACGTATGTGGACCACCAGAGATTGCCAGCAAGAAACTTCCAGTCTCCGGCACATAAAGTGCATAAGTACCTACAGTGGAATACACATAGGGACAGGTGCTCAAAGAATAAAGTGTCCCTTCTTTAAAAGAAATGTTGTTCATTTATTTTGTCAGATGTATTTAAATGAAGTTCAATTTTAATTATTTGTGACTCTTCAGAGCACACTTGTAAATGTGTTTCATTATTTTTCAGTACATACTGCAATAATGAAATCTTAGTCATTTGAGGACTCACTACAACATCTGTGGTACACAGCTGAAGCCAGAAAAAGCTGGATTCTATTGTACTACAGCAGTAACTCAAGAAAAAAAACAAAAACTAACACTAGCCAAGAAGCATAATGAAAAATGTTTCTTGGACTTCATTCAAGAAGCTTGCTTCCTTCTGTACATACACTAGCAACAAAAGAAGTGGGAAACGCTCCAAGGAAAGAAGGTAAGAACTGTAATCTCATTTTCAAAAGTGACAGCTATCTAGAAGCCTAAGTACCACTGAAAAAACCTGCTCAAAACAGTTCACTTATTCTCACATTGAACTTCAAGATAACTATTCCCTTCCCTTAAATAGATAATGCAACATAAAAATAAGTCAGTATTGGGTACACATATTCAATTACAAAGGATGTTTAAAATTTTTCAGTTAAAAAAAACCGGTGAGGAAAATGAAGGTCTGATAAAATCAACAACAAAAGACTACACACATATACAGGCATGATAAGCTAAGCTAAATAAATTTGTTTGTCGATATATTGAAGAGAGTTATAATTTTAATGTACTTTAGATTAGAGGTAGGTTTAAATGTCTCAAGGTTGTTTTGTTTCTTTACTTACACGAGTGCATCAAATCAAGTTGTATCCAACTCCATAACTGGTGATTTTTGTTTTCAAGGTAACAAAATTTTATCTGTTCTATTTTAGAAGATAAGCTATTTGAGCAGTCCTTACCTCCTCTTCATGTTCATGCTGTGCTTTTAGCTTCTCTAGCTCTTCCTGCAGCTGCCAGGAGTATTCTTCTTTCTGTTTCTGAACTTCTGCCACATGAAGATCTTGGAGCTCTTTTAGTGCTTTTTTATGATGTTCCTCCATATGCAATACTTCTTCACGCAATACATCCAGAGCCTTATGATTTTCTTCTTCCAACAAACATCTTTGATTTTGAAGAGTTGTATTCAAATCTTCCTATAATATTATTCATTTAAAAATAGCAAACATCCTCATTATATCCAGTTCATGAATGGTATGCTGCAGGATTAAAGTTACCCTCTGCCCGGTGAATTTCCAAACCACATAAGTGAATATTTACTACCAGCATCTCCTGGACCCTGACTGAGCATGCACTTCACTTACCTTTGAATTTATTTTTTAAAACTTACTAGTAATAAGAAATTACATCTCTATAGGTCTTCTTATTCCTTCCTACATACAACTCTCATCACCACAACCCCCCGACATCAAACACATTACAATCAGGAGCACTTAAGCATGAGACTTCAGTGGAACTTTAGCACCAATTTAAGTGTTGACATGAAAAGGGATGCTTTCTTGAATGAGGGGCAAAGAGTGGCAACTTTTGTGCCTATCTTCAGTATAATCGAGTAGGCTTACAAAAATTTAGTAGGCTCTAAATAAACCAGTACAAAATGATGCCCTTTGTGTCCTTACTCAACAGAAGGAAAATATTCAATAGCATCTGCTGGGACTTTATATCCTAGCAACAAGCCACTACCCTACTTCTGGGACTCATGATACATAACAAGAAGCTAAAGCACTCTCAAACACCCTTAGAAGATGTTATTTCAATGTACTGGAAGCGTAACATATTTCAAGACTTCCTAAATTCTGTTCAAGTTTCGAAAATTATGCAAAATGTGATTTAGCAGGATCGTAGGTTTACTATGATATTGCTGAAACCTGAGAATCTATTAAGAGTATTTTTACCTTTAACAAGTTGCTTAGAACTAATTAATGAGAAGGATGAAGTTAGCTACAAAATGGAAGGTTTTTGGAGTGCCAATTAAGTTGTACTATATATACACACATTAAAATGTATAACTTAGCTAGATAAAAGATGCAGTATTGTCACACACTAGGACTGAAGCAAAAGAGTTATTGTCCTATGACTGCCACCTTTTATGCTTCCCCTCAGCCAGTTTACTCAACAGGGTCCAAAGGAATAAATGATGATCTGAGCTTGCCGTTTAGAATATTTCTGTATGATGTACCATTAAGGAAGAATATCAGTAACAATCAAGAACCAACTTTACTACTATATTGTTCTTAAGAATTACCAGCTCTTCCTTACTGCACTGTGGTTGAAACCATTTTCAAAATATAAAAATTTTGTTACATAAGGAAAAGCAAAAAACTGCAGGCAGCTGCCCATTCTAGAAGGTTCATGCAAAACGTGTTTTGAAATTCTTATTTCAAAATAATTTTAAAAATACTTTATACAAAGTAAGTGATTGCACTTCTCCAAAATGATATCCTATGGGAAGTAATAAAACTGTTGAGGAAAATGTATGAACTATTCTCTCATTTCCAAGCCCTGTAGATTTTAAACATTTTCACACGTAGTGAAAGTAACAAAGAAGAAAAACTTTTTATTTCCATTAAACTCAGTATCTAAGCTTGCATAATGATATTTAAATATGTATTTGCCTATAATCTCTCCTTTTGCCTTTGTTCTTAATAATTAAGAAAACGATTACAAAGGAGTTAAGCAGCAGCTGCTCAATCAATAGAGCATTTTGCAAATGGAACGAAACAACTCTAGAAAACCAACAGTCTTTCATTTGAAATCAATCTAAACTCAAAACCAAAGAGGGTCATCTTACTGTCTTGTTTTCCCCTGACTCACCTTATGAGCTTCTTCCAGCTCAGCAGCCATGGCTTTAAGTTTTTCAATATGAATAGTAGCTAGCTCAATTTTCAGATTGTCTTGTGAAAGTTGCAGCTCTTCAGAATGTTTTAATTTCAGCCTTTCCATTTCCTGAGTCAAAATTGCTTGATTCGCCTTATCCTTCTCATGCAGCTGCGCTATGAAATGCATCTGTAGATCCTCAACAGCTTGTTTGTGCTCATCTCGTATAATCTGAATTTCAGACAGGTATGAAGACTCCAAAGAATCCAGATTTGACAAGTGTTTAGCTTCCAATTCATCAATTTGTGTTTGATGCTTTGCCTGCAGCTCAGCTATATGAGCTTCAAGATGAGCCTGCTGTTTGCTTTGTAATGTAGATGTAAGTGTCTCAATTTCAGCTTGGTGCTTTGTCTGCAGCTCAGCTGTGAGGGATAAAATATGTTGCTTATGCTTCTCCTGTAGCTGTTGACTCTGGAGTTCTAGCTCATCAGCATGCTTCCCTTTCAACTCTTGGAGGAGAAGCTCTTGCTCTGTTGTGAATTTTTGAGTCATAATTTTGTGTTCCTCCATAAATCTAATTTCCAAGAAAATTAAGAATGTTGTCAAACAAGCATTGATAAGATGCAAAGAAGAAAAACTAGGCAAAAATTGTTAAATTTGATCACCACATTTTTACCCATTTTATCCATAGTAACACAAAGGAATTAACTTAGAACAGTACAATGACTCTCTAAAGTGAGATGGTCATCTCAGGTTACTGCTTAGTAGACAAGTGCCCATATTACAAAAATCATTAATATAGGTGGCAGCATCCACAAAGCTAAGCATTTAATGTGCATGCACAGAGATTATTCCCTTTAACTCACAATGAAGGTATATTAACAGGACAGTGTGGGGAAATCTGTGGTACCTGCTTTGTAAACACATTCGGCGCTTCAGTTTACTGTGAACTGAACAGAAAGCAACCGAGGGAGGCAGGGCTGGATATTACTCTTATTAGGAGGCTAAAAGTACAAAACTGAAGTTGCCATTTATTTCTATATGTAATACTGTAGTGATTATTTTTTAATAATTGCTGGTGTTAGTGTGTATTTATATGAAGTAAAATCTAGCAGTGAGACTTCATGGATAACACTACCACTCCTTGCTAAAATAATATACATGGTTATATTTAGATAATTTTTTGGTGCCACCAAGTGACAAAATTATGAATTGCCATTTCTTATGAGGTTTTAAAACAAGAACAGTAAAAACCAATTAATTACATACTTGTTCTGTGCTTCCATAAGTTTAGCTGCACATTCCTCTTGGAGCCCAAATGTGGCTTTTTCCAACTTTTTTTCCATGAGTGCCTTGGCAGCTTGCAGTTCGCTGTCATACTGAGCTTTCTGTGTAGTCTGCACACTTGCTAAGCTATCCTCTAGCTGCTGCAGATTGTTCTGCTGCTCCTTTAGGGACTTCTCCAGTTCTACAATTCTGGCAGCCTGCTGATCCCGAAGCTGATTCATTTCAGCTTCACGAAGTTCAAACTCCTTTTGCAAAGTTTGTTTCTCATACTCTGCCTTGTCTTCAAGTTCTGTACGTAACCATGATAACTTCTCTTCAACTTTGATCCTCAGGGCCTCTCTTTCACACTTCCATTCCTCCTCCTTTTCTTTGTGCACTTGTTCCATTTGCTGGACCTCTTCTTGAGTTCTTTTTAATTCATTCTTGTGATCATCAACAAGTCTACATTTTATCTATGAACATTACAAAAATAAAGAGATGAAACCATATCAACTGGAAATGTTCAGAATAAAATATTCTTATTAGCCATTTAAACTCCTACAGATCCTCAACTGTGGACCACTGGGTCTTCAGAAATTCGACTAGTCATAAGGTCCTGGGTTTACCACCACACTTTCAGCTGCTAAATTACATTAAAAGACAGCTAAAATGCATTAAACATTTTACTTTTCTACCTAAGCAATTGCTGTAGTTGACGCAGGGATGTTATAGAACTGTAAATAGGAGGAAGTGATCTGTGTGACAGTGACTGGTGAACGAGAAAAAAAGTGGCCCTCAGGACACACTGCATGAAAAGGTGGGCCACACCACGCACAAAAAATTAACATTTTACCATCTTCTAAGAACCATCTAAATATTCAAGTCTTGTGCTTGGGTCAGCTTTCACAACAAAACACAAGATTTAAGTGTCAATTTGTTGATGCCTTATTTAAGTCAAAGCACTATTAAGAATTCCAAAAGAATAGTAAAGGAAGATTTAAATAATGACTAAATTCCAAAAAATATTTTTACATAAATTCAGGCTTTACGGCATTTTGAAGACTTTCAACTTATGTCTAAGATCCTTGTCCTCCTCTCATTCCCTATACTTGCCATTATGTCATTTCACAAGGGGAAATAAGCATTTAGCACTTCAGATTCTAATCTTTCGCAGGTTAGGGCGCAAACAAAAAAATCTGAAATGGTATTAAAGAATTTCAAATGTGTGATTTATGGGCAAAGGTTGAAGAATAGGTGTCATTGAGGTCCTATGAAACTATTCAACCTCATTTTCAACTTCAACCTCCTTCACCCCATTCTTCAACCTTTACATATGTATCACCCATCTGCAGACCCAACTCATCAGAACTTACAAGGTTTTAGCTATGCAACTCCCATTAATACTAAGACCCCACTACAGACAAGAAAGTTCAAATGGTAAGTATCGTTCCAGTCACTATTCCCATTAATTTGCTTTATGCCTGGCAGATGTTGTATTGGACATAGTTATCTCATATTAAATGCAAAAAACAAACTAATGCATACTACCTTTTCCATCTCCTCTTTCAGATGGATTTCATGCTGGACACCAATGTCTTTTAGTTTAGCACTCTCTCTCTCTAAGTGTTGTATTTCTCCCTGCAGTTCTGCAATGTACTGTTTCTCAGACTGAAGGAGGGAGAGTTTAGCTTTGTGCTCATTCTCCAGCACACATACTCGTTCAACAACCTCTGCTTCAACCTGGCGCGCTGCATCTTGAGCACTCTGTAGACGCAGTTTGGTAATTTCTGGATTGACGGTGAAAAAAACATTTTGTAGTTTGTTCTAAAGGATCTTGATCATTCATAAAAGTAAAAAAATTAAGTTCAGTAATGACAGTAAAACAGCAAACATCAGTGGCTCTCTCGATTTCAAGGCTACCAAGAAGTACGTAATAAAATCTCTCCACTTACATTTCTTATAATGGTCCCTTCTGGCACTGGAATCTATGCACTACCTTTTAATCTACTATACATCACCACTGCCTATCACCATTAAGCCTATCAGCATCTAAAATGTAAATGGGAGGAGGAACAGGTGATAACTTTTTGCCCTGAGGGCCACATCGGGCAATAGAAATTGTAGGGCGGGCCATGAATGCTCACGAAATTGAGGTTGGGGTGCGGGCTCTGGGGTGGGGCTGGGGATGAGGAGTTTGGGGTACAGGAGGGTGCTCTGGGCTGGGACCAAGGGGTTCGGAGGGGGATCAGGGCTGGGGCAAGGGTGCGGGAAGGAGTGCTAGTTCCAGCTGGACGTGCGGGCTCTGTGGTGGGATTGGAGAGGAGAGATTTGGGGTGCAGGAAGGTGCTCCAGGCTGGGATCAAGGGGTTTGGAGAACGGGAGGGGAATCAGGGTTGTGGCGTGGGGAGAAGCTAAGTGGGTGCAGGCTCCAAGCAGCGCTTACACAAGTGGCTCCCGGAAGCAGTGGCATGTCCCTTCTCCGCTCCTATGCGGAGGCATAGCCAGGCGGCTCTGCACGCTGCCCCATCCACAGGCAACGCCCCTGCAGCTCCCATTGGAGAGCGAAGGAGCCAGAACAGGGCCATGCCACGGCTTCCGGGAGCCACGAGGTGCAGCCCCCGAGCCAGCGCTGTGGCTGGGCCATTTCCAGCACAAATCCAGGTTTTCTCACCCCCCCACCCCCATACACACACAAACTCACTCTCCTGCTGGTAATAGCTCATCCAAAGTGACCACTCTCCCTACAATGCAGGAGAGTGAGTTTGTGTGTGTATGGGGGTGCGGGGGTGAGAAAACCTGGATTTGTGCTGGAAATGGCCCACCTTGATTATCATGCACATTGTAGGGAGAGTGGTCACTTTGGATGAGCTATTACCAGCAGGATAGTGAGTTTGTGTGTGTGGTTTTTGGAGGGAGGTGAGGGGGTGAGAGAACCTGGATTTGTGCAGGAAATGGCCCAACTTGATTATCATGCACATTGTGAAGAGAGTTGTCACTTTGGATGGGCTATTACCAGCAGGAGAGTGAGTTTGTGTGGGGGTGGAGGGTGAGAAAACCTGGATTTGTGCTGGAAATGGCCCAACTTCATGATCACTTTAGATAAGCTATTACCAGCAGGACAGTGGGGTGGGAGGAGGTATTGTTTCATGGTCTCTGTGTGTATATAATGTCTGCTGCAGTTTCCACGGTATGCATCCGATGAAGTGAGCTGTAGCTCACGAAAGCTCATGCTCAAATAAATTGGTTAGTCTCTAAGGTGCCACAAGTACTCCTTTTCTTTTTGCGAATACAGACCGACACGGCTGTTACTCTGAAACCTTTTAATTTGAACAGTTTGTACAGTATCTTACATAGATTGCTGAATAACAGAAATATAGTATACCTTTTATAAATGATTTGATAAATAGCAAATTAAATAACATCTGACTGATGGTATTCAACTAACTCTGACTATCTTTCAGGGTATGGATGCCAAGTCCAAAAAGCTTTCCTCTCACATATACTATCTCAGAGAGGAAATAAATATAAGAACTACCACTATCTCCTCCCCACACCTTCATGGCACATGTAAAATTTATATAAAAAAACTCTTGAAATTGCTTTGCACTGTTTTAGTATAAATAGGTTAGAAGCAGCATGCTTCTTCCAGGAAAAAAGGGACACTGGTGAGAAGTTGAATAAAACGTGGCTTACACCCAGACAGAACATTCCTTTGTTAAACTTAGTTATACAACAGTAGTAAAATAGCAAAAGATTTGAGTTTTTAGGAGGGGATTACTACTTTAGCCTGAGCTCTCTGGCAAATTTTAAAGTAATATTTTCCTGACTTTTAAAATAATTCTCTCCCCCCAAAGCTGTGAGAAAGATCTGCACAAACGAAGAAACTTACCTACTGAATATGCAGGAAAGACAGTAAACCCTCCTATTCACTAAGTGCTATTAAAGCCATAAAAATCAAACAAAGTGAAGAGATATGGAACAGGATTTTTTCCCTCCAATCTCTTTCTGCTAGTGGTCTAGGTGTTTCTTGTAACACTAAAGTAGAGAAATTTTCAGCAAAGTGCAACAACTTGACAGGGCCCCTATAAGCATCAAATATGGAAAGTTACATCCATGAGACACTCCTGTGGTAATCATTCCTCAGCTGTAGTCCATTAAATTCTAGAAACTCACATTTAGGACTCTACAGGAAGAATACTTCTGAAAATGAAGATAAAGATGTTCAAAAGAATCATAAAAACAAACAATTCTAAGTACCATTATTAACAAGTTTAAAGCGCTAGATTTCTTTTATGTAATTCCAAACTAATTTGGAATTTTCATATTCCTTCAAATAATCCTTTAAAGCCTAAAGATAAAAAAAATCCAAGCAGCTTTCCATTTTACACATGAATCTGCAAGTACACAAGAACCAGGCAGAGGAAAAGACAGGCTAGTGAAGGAGAAATAGAGCTTAAGAATAGGTATGCAGAGTTGGAAAATGAAGAAGGGGCTCAGCAGGTAGTCACTGAAGGTGGAAGGGCAAGGAAGACGAGAAGAGCGGCTAGTCCTATAGGAAAAGGGGAAGAGTTAATGGACATTACACCAAATATGAGCCCCAGAAGGATACAGGATGGGTTAAAGAGGATTAAAAGGGAGAATAGGAATGGAAAGAACTTGCAGGCAGAGGGAACAGGGGATAGACTGGAGAATAGCACCATCACTAGGAAAAGACAGGTCTATGTGATTGGGGACTCTTTACTGAGAAGAATAAATAGGCCTGTAACCAGAGCTGATCCAGAGAATAGGAGGGTGTGCTGTCTTCCAGGTGCTAAGATACGGGATGTAGACCTGAGGTTGAAAAGGATTCTGAAGGGAGCGGGAAAGAATCCCCTAATTATCCTTCATGTGGGAACAAATGATACGGCTAGATTCTCACTGGAAAGTATTAAGGGAGACTATGCTAGGCTGGGGAAAACGCTTAAGGAAATCGAGGCTCAGGTGATCTTTAGTGGGATTCTGCCTGTTCCTAGAGAAGGGCAACAAAGGTGTGACAAGATTATGACTATCAACAGATGGCTTAGGCAGTGGTGCTATAAGGAGGGCTTTGGGATGTATGGCCACTGGGAGGCATTCATGGACAGAGGACAGTTCTCTCGGGATGGACTTCATCTGAGTAGGGAAGGAAATAGACTTCTAGGACGGAGGCTGGCACAACTGATTAAGACAGCTTTAAACTAGGAATTAGGGAGAGATGGTTGGGAGATGTCCAGGTAATCTCCATGCCAGAATTTAGCATTGAGAGGAAAGAAAATGGACACAGAGTGGACACAGCCGTGGGTAGGAGGAAGGGCAGTGTAGATACAAGTCTAATACGTTATACTCGTAGTAAAATGACCGTGCCTAATAGGGTACAGAATGTGAGTGAGGCCAAACAGCAAAAATTAAGATGTTTGTACACCAATGCGAGGAGCCTAGGTAACAAAATGGAGGAACTAGAGCTACTGGTGCAGAAAGTGAAACCAGATATTATAGGGATAACAGAAACATGGTGGAATAGTAGTCATGACTGGACTACAGGTATTAAAGGGTATGCGCTGTTTAGGAAAGACTGAAATAAAGGTAAAGGTGGTGGAGTAGCATTGTATATCAATGATGAGATAGACTGTAAAGAAATAAGAAGCGATGAAATGGATATGACTTGAGTCTGTCTGGGCAAAAATTAAATTGGGGAAGAAAACTATTAGAGCCTCCCCTGGGATAGTGCTTGGGGTGTGCTATAGACTGCCGGGATCTAGTTTGGATATGGATAGAGCCCTTTTTAATGTTTTTAATAAAGTAAATACGAATGGAAACTGTGTGATCATGGGAGACTAACTTCCCAGATATAGACTGGAGGACAAGTGCTAGTAATAATAATAGGGCTCAGATTTTCCTAGATGCGATAGCTGATGGATTCCTTCAGCAAGTAGTTGCTGAACCAACTAGAGGGGATGCCATTTTAGATTTGGTTTTGGTGAGTAGTGAGGACCTCATAGAAGAAATGGTTGTAGGGGATAATCTTGGCTCAAGTGATCATGAGCTAATTCAGTTCAAACTGAACGGAAAGATTAATAAAAATAAATCTGCAGCTAGGGTTTTTGATTTCAAAAGGGCTGACTTTCAAAAATTAAGGAAATTAGTTAGGGAAGTGGATTGGACTGAAGAATTTATGGATCTAAAGGTAGAGGAGGCCTGGGATTATTTTAAATCAAAGCTGCAGAAGCTATCGGAAGCCTGCATCCCAAGAAAGGGGAAAAAATTCATAGGCAGGAGTTGTAGACCAAGCTGGATGAGTATGCATTTCAGAAAGGTGATTAAGAAAAAGCAGAAAGCATACAGGGAGTGGAAGATGGGAGGGATCAGCAAGGAAAGCTACCTTATTGAGGTCAGAACATGTAGAGATAAAGTGAGACAGGCTAAAAGTCAAGTAGAGTTGGACCTTGCAAAGGGAATTAAAACCAATAGTAAAAGGTTCTATAGTCATATAAATAAGAAGGAAACAAAGAAAGAAGAAGTGGGACCGCTAAACACTGAGGATGGAGTGGAGGTCAAGGATAATCTAGGCATGGCCCAATATCTAAACAAATACTTTGCCTCAGTCTTTAATAAGACTAAAGAGGATCTTAGGGATAATGGTAGCATGACAAATGGGAATGAGGATATGGAGGTAGACATTACCATATTTGAGGTAGAAGCGAAACTCAAACAGCTTAATGTGACTAAATCGGGGGGCCCAGATAATCTTCATCCAAGAATATTAAAGGAATTGGCACAAGAAATTGCAAGCCCATTAGCAAGAATTTTTAATGAATCTGTAAACTCAGGGGTTGTACCGTATGATTGGAGAATTGCTGACATAGTTCCTATTTTTAAGAAAGGGAAAAAAAGTGATCAGGGTAATTATAGGCCTGTTAGTTTGACATCTGTAGTATGCAAGATCTTGGAAAAAATTTTGAAGGAGAAGGTAGTTAAGGACATTGAAGTCAATGGTAAATGGGACAAAATGGTTTTAAAAGGTAGATCGTGCCACACCAACCTGATCTCCTCCTTTGAGAAAGTTACAGATTTTTTAGACAAAGGAAACGCAGTGGATCTAATTTACCTAGATTTCAGTAAGGCATTTGATACCGTGCCACATGGGGAATTATTAGTTAAATTGGATAAGATGGGGATCAATAGGAAAATTGAAAGGTGGATAAGGAATTGGTTAAAGGGGAGACTACAACGGGTCCTACTGAAAGGTGAACTGTCAGGCTGGAGGGAGGTTACCAGTGGAGTTCCTCAAGGATCGGTTTTGGGACCAATCTTAATCTTTTTATTACTGACCTTGGCACAAAAAGTGGGAGTGTGCTAATAAAGTTTGCGGATGATACAAAGCTGGGAGGTATTGCCAATTTAGCGACAGACCGGGATATCATACAGGAGGATCTGGATGACCTTGTAAACTGGAGTAACAGTAATAGGATGAAATTTAATAGTGAGAAGCATAACGTCATGCATTTAGGGAGTAATAACAAGAATTTTAGTTATAAGCTAGGGACGCATCAATTAGAAGTAACAGAGGAGGATAAGGACCTTGGAATATTCGTTGATCATAGGATGACTACGAGCCGCCAATGTGATATGGCTGTGAAAAAAGCTAATGCGGTCTTGGGATGCATCAGGAGAGGTATTTCCAGTAGGGATAAGGAGGTTTTAGTACCATTATACAAGGCACTGGTGAGACCTCACCTGGAATACTGTGTGCAGTTCTGGTCTCCCATGTTTAAGAAGGATGAATTCAAACTGGAACAGGTACAGAGAAGGGCTACTCGGATGATCCGAGGAATGGAAAACTTGTCTTATGAAAGGAGACTTAGGGAGCTTGGCTTGTTTAGCCTAACTAAAGGAAGGTTGAGGGGAGATATGATTGCTCTCTATAAATGTATCAGAGGGATACATACCAGAGAGGGAGAGGAATTATTTAAGCTCAGTACCAATGTGGACATAAGAACAAATGGATATAAACTGGCCACTAGGAAATTTAGACTAGAAATTAGACGAAGGTTTTTAACCATCAGAGGAGTGAAGTTTTGGAATAGCCTTCCAAGGGAAGCAGTGGGGTCAAAAGATCTATCTGGCTTTAAGATTAAACTTGATAAGTTTATGGAGGAGATGGTATGATGGGATAACATGGTTTTGGTAATTAAATATTCATGGTAAATAGGCCCAATGGCCTGTGATGGGCTATTAGATGGGGTGGGATCTGAGTTACCCAGGAAAGAGTTTTCTGTAGTATCTGGCTGATGAATCTTGCCCATATGCTCGGGATTTAGCTGATTGCCATATTTGGGGTCGGGAAGGAATTTTCCTCCAGGACAGATTGGAAGAGGCCCTGGAGGTTTTTCGCCTTCGTAGCATGGGGCACGGGTCACTTGCTGGAGGATTCTCTGCTCCTTGAAGTCTTTAAACTACAATTTGAGGACTTCAATAGCACAGATATAGGTGTGAGGGTTTTTTTTGTAGGAGTGGTGGGTGAAATTCTGTGGCCTGCGTTGTGCAGGAGGTCAGACTAGATGATCATAATGGTCCCTTCTGACTTAAATATCTATGAATCTATGAATCTCCATCTTACCTTTGATGTGCTCTTCCGAAAGCTTGGCACGGAGTTGTTCAAGATCTAGACAATGTTTCTTTTTTAATTCCTCAATTTCTGAAATATATCTGTCTGAGAGATCCATCTTCATCTTCATCAGGTCCTCCTTATATTGGAGTGCAAGGGAAGATCTTAAGGAGTCTAGTTCATGTCTGTGTTTTTCCTCCAATTGTAGTCGCAAACAAGTAAATTCTTCCTGCAGAAAACACACATTCAGAATGGAGACGGATACCTTTATCTTTCAGATAATTAGGCTAAAGAATTAATTTGACAGTAAGTACCCATAGCATACTGTAAACATACATCTGATGAAGTGAGCTGTAGCTCACGAAAGCCCATGCTCAAATAAATTGGTTAGTCTCTAAGGTGCTACAAGTACTCCTTTTCTTTTTGCAAATACAGACTAACACGGCTGTTACTCTGAAACCTGTAAACATACAAGTTCACTTACCAGTCTGCCTCCTCAAAATATTCTTGCTTCTACACCCACTTCTACCTCCTAAACTCTGGGAGTAGAGGGATCCCCAGAAGGCCTAACTCTGTTTATACAGCCATGCTACCACAAGGTAAAGTAGAGCTCCAGGAGCTGCCAGAGGATCTAGGAGAGTGGGAAATGCCTGTAGGCACCTGAATAGGGAGCTTGTCAAGGTTTTTGACACTAACATAGGAGAAGGAGACTGCTTATACTATCGTTTGTATTACCATAGCACCTAGAAGCCTTACTCTTGGACCAGGACCCCTTTGTAGCACTCAGCCAGGAGCCACACAGGGGAAAGGACTTCCTAAGCTCCATGGCAACTCTTGAAACACTTATTTCTTAAGCAGCAAGTAAACAAAAAAGCCAAGATAATGCATCAAAAACATCCTTTGTTCACTTATTTTCTCAAGTTGTATAGTTTTGTTTAAGATAATACCTTCTAGTATACTTGGTAAAAACAACAAAACAATAGTAATACAAGACCTCAGAATAGCACCTGCTATGAAAACCATGCTAAGAGGTGTGAAGCATCGGTCATGTTTTTGTGGACATTTTAAAATGTGCACTATAATTTTTGTTAAAATTGACATTTCACCTTGTGCTGCTCCAGTTGCTGAGTTAGTTGGTCAAGCGTATCCCTTCTCTCTTTTTCACTTGCCTCTTCGAAAAGTGTGACCGAGGAGCTGAGCAGAGAAAAGGAATTTAGAAAATTAACTTGAAGACTCACTATAAAATATAGAATTAGAAGAATGTATTGATTCTTAAGATATTAGAGTATGTATGTACAGACCAGAATCTAGTCAAACACTCCTGAATAACCATTTCAACAAGAAACTGTCTGCATCCATTACTATCTTCCATCCTGGGGTTTCTGACCTCCCACCACCAATCCAAATACACACACAAAGCCTAAAGTCTTTTCTAGGAAAGGAAAGTTGAGTGTGTTTTGTCACAGATGAGATTAAAGAAAAAAACAGTCATCACCTGATATCTAAAGGCTGATCTTGACTAATCTCTGACTCCAACAAAGAGTATTCCTTTAATTCTTGCAGCCTCTGATGCAGCAGAGTTAATTCTTCTCTGTAGTTTTCTTCAGCTGCCCCTAGTTTCTCTTCAAAGTAAATTCTCAGTTGTTCCAACTCAGTTTCATGTTCGCTTCTTCTCTGCTGCCGCTGCTGTTCAAAGTCTTGCTTTAAACGTTCTATTTCATCCACATGTGATGTGCGAGCCAGAAGCTGTTCTTTTAACTCTGAGTAGAAGATGGAAAAAACAGCAATACCTTTAACCTTGTTTTTAATCCAAAAAAAAAAAAACACACACTTTGGACTCCATCATAGATCCTATGAAGATGAACCATATTTTGGATGGGGAGAAAAGCACAGAACCCAACAGGCAGCATCAGGAGTCATACCTTCAAAGACATAATGCCAATGCCTCAACATTTTTTGGGAGGGTTAGCAGAGCAGGTCTTGCTACACCTTACACTGAGTACAAATTAAGGGGTGAGGGAGCAGAGAAAACATAGCCATGTCCCCATTTACCCCACTCTTAGACCTCGTCTGCACCTAAAAGGTTAGACTGATCGAGTAACATCATTCAGGACTGAGAAAAAAATTGCACCATGGATGATGTAGTTAGGTCAACCTAACCCCAACTGTAGCTGCAGGTAGGTCAACAGAAGCATCTTCCATCGACCTATCTTCCTCCTCTCAAAAGGGAGAATTACCTACATTGACAGGAAAACCACTTCTGTCCCTTAGTAAGTGTCCACACTACAACGCTACAGCTGTGCACAGCAGCATTTGTGTTGCACACATACCCCCAGTATTCTGCACCAAAAAATTAAAAATTCTGTGCCAAAAAAGTAAAAAATTCTGCACACATTTTAAAATTCTGCAAAGTTCTACATATTTTGTCAAAACAAACACAATATAATCACACCATTTTCAATTATTGCTGACAAGTATTTTGAAATAAATTACCAAAATAATTAAAAATGGTCTGATTATATTGTTATTATGTTACTATGTTATTTTGACAAATAAATATGCAGAACTTTGCAGAATTTTAAATTTTTAAATTTTTTGGTGCAGAATTCCCTCGAGAGAATCAGGGTTCTGTGTTGAGCAATCTGGGTGCAGGCAGTTTGGTGAGGGGTTCGGTTGCAAGGGGAATCTGGATGCACAGGGGTTCGGTGTGGGGTTCTGGGTGCATGGAGAATTGGACTCTGCAGGGGAGACCAGATGAAGGTGGTTAGGATTCAGTGGGGGTTGGTAGGGTTGGGGGTGGGGTGCAGCAGATTGGGGCTCAGGGGGCTCTCAATGCAGGGGGTGAGGCTCAGCAGAGTGGAGGTTCGGGGGGGGGGGATTCTCGGTGTGTGGGTGGAGGGAGGGGTCATTGTAAGGGGAGCTGCTCCCCATCTGCCCAACCCACCCGCATCCAACTCCCACCGCTGAGCCAACTCCCTCCCTGCACCTGGAACCCCCACCCCACCAAGCCTCACCCCCCTTCACCCTGACCACCCCTGCCCTCCCGCGGTGCAGAGCTTCCTGAAGCCAGGAGAAGTTTCTGGGGGTTGATTTGACCCAGCCCCGGCTGCTCTGTGCAGGGAGAATTTAGTCTCTGTTGTCCTCCTCCCCCCACCCGGCCCCCCCTGGCCCAGCCAGGACTAATGTCCCTGGCCCACCAGAACCTTCCCAGACCCTCCCCCCCATGATTTACCTCTCCCCCAGCTGCAAGAACAGAGGCATCTGACCTGCTGGGGAGGAGCACTGGTGCAGCGTCTCTTTGCTTCCCCACAGACACCATTTTCTATCGAAAGTAAAGACAATCTGTGTGGGGGCATTTGTCTGCTGCACCGTAGTGGTGCAGAATTCCCCCAAGAGTACTCCAGAAACTACACCTCTTGAAGTGAGTAAGCACTGCAGTCAGTCAGCCAGCCCATCTCCCTTCCTTTGTGCTCTTCAATGCTGGGAATGGTTACGGAGAGGCAGTGTGACCTAGTGGATGGAGCACTGGACTGGGATTCAGGAGACCTGGGTTCTATTCCCAGCTCTGCACTAGCTCAGTGTGTGACCTTTGGTTAAGTCAATTTCCCTCTGTGTGCCGCTGTTTTCCCATCTGTAAAAGGGGGATAATGATTCTGATGACTTTTGCCAAGCATTTTTTGATCTACTGATGTCAAGCATTATATAAGAGCTAGGGATGATAATGATGCAGAGTCCTGCAATGGGGGTTGAACCCTGCACCTTCTAATGCTCCCATGCAGCAGGAATAAGAAGAATTACTGTAACTGCTTTGAACTAAATTGATTTACCCCAGAAACAGCCTTCCTAGCACAAACTACTTTGAAAAATGTAAATCCAACAATTAAACTTAAATATAATCTTGTCAAAGGACTTGCTTTGCTGATAGATTGGCAAAGTGTGGACAACCCCCCCCTCCCCCCGGATCATGTAAAAATGTTAGAATGCAATGGTTCTGTTGAGTACACAGTGGTCAGGATTCTGGTCACCTAGAAAGATAGGATAAACTGGCTTAACCCTTGTGAAGGATAACAGTCTTCAATCAATTACAGTTCTTGTAGGAAGCCAAGAGAATAGTAGATGAAGGAGACTCATAGGTTTCTGTATACATGAACTTTCAGAAGGGCTTTGTTGAAGTGCCTCACTAGCGGCTGTGATAACTAGGAACTGGTAAAGAGGTAGAAAACAAAAGGACAGATTAGTCGTGGGATGCATCATGGGTCAGTAGGAGGACCAACTAATTAGAAGAGGGAGCGAACATCAATGAGGCAAAGTTGCAGACAATTATTCACATTACTCAAGAACATAATTTCAGAGGGACCTACGAAAGCTAGATATCGGGAAACAGGGCTTATGGAATTCAGTATGTACTGGAAGGAATAATTAGAACTCTAACCAAATGCTGATGTATTCTAAAATACAGCTGTCTACTCAGGAAGAAAATATGGGTGCCCCTGTGGACAGCTCAATGTGCTGTGAGAGGGGGCCGGAAAAGGACTATCTGAGAAAAGAATACCAAGGGAGGAAAAATAACTTTTGAAGTGGTAATGAGAGTGGCCCATTTCAGGCAGCTGACAAGAAGGTGTGAGTAACAGTAGGTGAAAATTAGTATTGGGGAAATTAGGTTTAGGTTTTGTAATGACCCAACCTCTCCCAGTCTTTATTCAGGCCTAATTTGATGGTGTCCGGTTTGCAAATTAATTCCAATTCTGCAGTTTCACACTGGAGTCTGTTTCTGAAGTTTTTTTTGTTGAAGAATTGCCACTTTTAGGTGTGTTATTGAGTGACCAGGAAGACTGAAGTGTTCTCCGACTGGTTTTTGAATGTTATGATTCCTGATGTCAGATTTGTGTCCATTTATTCTTTTGCGTAGAGACTGACTGGTTTGGCCAATGTAGATTGGGAGAACAAGGGGATTGTGGGGGCATTCCTCCTCCCTCCCAGTGGATCTTCTAGGGATGAAAGGACTAAGCATTAAAATGACCACCTGAATACTAGTGAATCCCTTTAATTTTAAGATGTAATTCCAGAATCCTTGTCCACCTCAATTCAAATCTACTAGAAAACCCTATTTCAGCTTCAGAACTAATCTAACCTATGCCTTTGTTCAGATTTTAAAGGGGGCCAAGATCAGGGTAATGATAAACAGCCAAATGACAAGTATTATAGATGGGCAGTAGGGATTACTGCCATCAATATTTCGTGTTGATTTAGATCTTTAAAAACCCTCCACATATCGTACGTAATACTAGTTTGTCATAACCATGTGTTCCTATTGCTGCTATCCTCTTCCTCCCTCACCTTCATTTGTTTGTTACACCACATTGCAGCTCATCTTAAATTTGATTTTAAGATTTAAGGGACATGGGCTGTATTTTACTACCTGTTTGTAAACTGTCAAACACTACGGGTCCTCTGGTTCCTAATGCAACATAGACAGGTAATAGCAGTGGCAGTGACAGTAGCAGTGATGACAGCTCAGCTGCAACTTCAACTTTGGCACAGATACCACCACACCATAATCTGATACAATACGACTGTAGGGCATCTCTGCCTTCATACTTCAGGACAAATTATAAACCAGCAGAACAGGACTGAAACTTTTCCCATAGGCATGGTATTGCCTACTTGAGCGTTTTAAACCTTATTCTGAAGCATCTAGTACTGGCCAGAAACCGAATTAAATGGACCATTTGTCCAATCCTGTGTGACAACTCCTGCTGTATGCTCCTGTGACTGAATGCCTGTTCAATACGTTTTGTTAAAAATTGTTTCACACGCAGTGTTGTTCTATGTGAGCTAAGGCAAGAACCGTAACGTGTTTCTACCATACCACTTAGCTCCTGTCGACTTGCTCGTGTGCTATCAAGCTGAGACCAAAGCTGTTTGATTTCTTCTTGTGATCGAGTTTTTAATTCTTCATATGTGGCCTGAAGTTTCTCCATCTACGAAAGATGCATTAAGAATTTGTTTGTTTTGTTTTGTTTCAATAGCTGCCTATTTTCATGTCTTAGGAACAGTTAAGCTGCTCATGGGGGGAATGCTATAGTACCAAGGCTTGTGGAGACACTGAAAGACCTAACTCCTCTACGAATATCCCTCTAATTGAGACAAATGAGGGAGCCACCTGTTTGTCATGCCACTTAGGTCATGACTTGTTCTCCACATTCATAGTCTCACCAAACAACTGAGAAAAATATAGGAATCAGTAACTGAAACTATATTAAATAAGAACTAAGGGAAAGATTTGATTAAATTGCAGGAAGTGCCACATTAGTAGATCTAGCGATGTGTTACACAGAGTTAAATCCAGCTTAAAAAAACCTGTGAATACTAATCTAATATTGATTTGGGCTTCATGCCCTTAATTTTGGTATAAAAAAAAACAAAACAAAACAAAAAAACAACTTACATCATGCTACATTTCCCCTTAAAAAAAATCTAAATTTTAAATACAGAAGAATGGCACACATTATTTAACAACACTTGTGGCTCCTAAATACTATGCCACTAACCTAATTCATACCAAACATTCAAAACAAAAAAATCTTATTAACCTCCTGCCGCATCTCCTGTTCTCTTTCCTGGCTTTTCCTTTTCAGGTTTTCTAGACATTGGTCATGTTCCGTCTGCAGCTGTTCACAGAGTTTTGGAATTGCCATCTGGTGTTCATTCTCCAGATTTTTACATTTCACTACAAAACAAAGTTAGTGCTGTTATATTATTAGATTAGACTTTTTTTTTTTGGTGAACTACCTAATGCAACATCAGTTTTGTGACGAATTAAAGCACAAAACTATGAATCCAGGCCAACAAGCTAACAGGTTAGCTAACTGTAAGTTTAAGGCATTCTCTATCTAGGTTAATAACTGAAAGGGCCGTTACAACCTTGTGAAAGGAACCAACTGGCGAGCTCAGTACAGTACTTATACCACAGTAATCAACACGCTAAGAACTTTAACAGTAAAGAAATGCAGCAGGTGGAAACTTGGTATTTCCACACAGAGCCTTATGGTCCACTGTGTGCAATGCCATCAACAGGTGGTGAGGTCCTCAGGGAGGACACCAGAGGTGGCTACCTGAAGATGAAACATATGTAAGAGACAATGCCATAATAAACAGCAGCAGCCTTAAATGCACAGGGAACACATTTCTCCAGAGAACCTCCCATTCACAATGTTGCTGGCAGCCAGGACTCAAAAGGCAAGGAGAAATAGTTGGCCATGGGACGGGAAAGCACTTCTGCTACCAACATAAACAGTTGCAGAAAAAGGAAGGGAGATAAGGACAGATGCACTCACCTCAAACAGAAAGGAGCACTTGAAAGATTCAGGGCAGCTGGAGTACTCCCACCATCTAAGTGAGCTCTCCCTAAGCAAAATGGACCTGCCACCTGCTTCTCCTCAACGGACCTTTGCTCTGCCACAGAGAGGAAACCCTGCCTGCAAGTCACTCCCATCCAGCCACAATGCAGTAACAGAAATGATTCTGTCACATACAGATAGCTGGACTCTGCACTCTGGGGGAACAAGTAAAGAATCAACAGGAGACTGGATAGGAAGAAACTCATAGGTGACTTCCTTCACAGCAGCCAGAGGACTGCTAGCAGAATAGCAAAAGTATCCAATGCTATACATGGGTAACAGGATGGAACTTATATCTCAGGGCTGGTGTTGCTGCATGCCAGCCGGCACAAAGTTCCCCATTGCCAGTTACCCTGAAGCCAGCTTTCCATTTATTTGCAATAGTTGCCATTTCCCCTGCCTCTCACGTATTAGGTACCTCAGAGAACATATGGCTCCCAAACCAACTGGCCAGCTCTCCCTGCTTCACTTCATGTAAGCACAGTGCAGGAGGTACTGGGTGCCAAGTTCTCCACAGGATAAATTCTTTGTACTCCTCAGGCTGCTGCTATATAAGGCAGTGGGCCTATTATATTCTCGGAAGGCACCAGCCTCTGATGCTGCTGCCAGCTATGCCTCCTGCTGATAGAATTCTCCAAAGGCAAGGGCTTCAGGAGCCCCTCACACTCACATTTCAGACTCCTAAAAGCAACAAAAATTTTCACACATGTGGTCATTTATTCATCCTGGCCCTCACTTTTCTGAGTAATGAGGCTTTCAGTTACTCTGCTGTTTAAGGAAGGTAACTTTTGAGACAATTATTTTAAAGAATTGCCAAAATCTATCATACATCCATATTGTTAAGATCCAAACAGGAGTCTGGCTGTTCAGAATACTATCTGGAAATCTTTAAATCAGGCAAAACACTCACTGAAATTAGTGGAAGTTTTGCCTAATTAAGAGACTCACAGACTATCATAGACTTTAATGTCAGAAGGAACCATCATGATCATCTAGTCCAGGGGATCTCAAACTTCACTGCAACCCCCATCTGACAACAAAAATTATGACACGACCCCAAGAGGGTGGACGACAGCCTGAGTTCACCTGAGCTCCGCCACCCTGGACAGGGGGTCAAAGCCCAAGCCCAAGGGCTTCAGCCTCAGGCAGGGGGGTCTGTAACCTGAGCCCTGCCACCCAGGGCTGAAGCTCTCGGGCTTCAGCTTCAGCCCCAGGTAGTGGGGCTTGGGTTTCAGCTTTGGCCCCAAGCCCCAGCAAGTCTAAGCCAACCCTGGCAACCCCATTAAAATGGGATCGCAACCCACTTTGGGGTCCCAACCCACAGTTTGAGAATGGCTACTCTAGTCTGACCTGTTGCACCTCACAGGCCATAGAACCTCAACCACCCACTCCTGTAATAGACCCATAATCTCTGGCTGAATTTCTGAAGTCCTCAAATTTTGATTTAAGGACTTCTAACTACAGAGAATCTGCAATTTACTCTAAATCAAAACCACAAATGACTCGTGCCCCACGCTGAAGGATTCGGCCCTCAATTGACAGCAAAATTGTAGCTTGCAGTCTTGTTGTAGCTATGTTGGTCCCAGGATGAGAGAGTGGGTGAGATATCTTTTATTGGACAAACTTCTACAAATTGTAGGCACTTGCATTTTCTGATATTTGTGGGGAAAATGCATTCTAGGTTTTCACCTTAAGTTTGCTACAATTACAACTACACATTAATATAAAGACTGATAAGCTACATTGGCTAAAGTAGTCACTTTGTAATTGCTAATTTCTGAACAATTATGCATCATTGGCATGGTTCTAACTGCAAATGTTAAAATTGAAAAATTATTGCTGTTTTATATGCACTGTACAACTCCTAAAGTTACTCTAGCCAGCTTTGAATCCCTCACGATAAATATCTTGCAACAAAGCTAATACTTTCCAAAACATAACACTTACTTTCCGCCTGCTCTTTTTTAAGAGATAGACTCTTCAGCTCTTCTTTAACTCTTTCTAGTTCCAATTTCAGAGTTTTCTGCAGTTCACCCATTTCAGTCTGATGTTTTTCAGATAGCTCCTCACGGATGTTTTTTAAACATGTTTCAGTCTTCAGTGCACAGTCTCCTTTAAGAGTCTAACAGAACAGGATAGGTGCATTAGTAAAGCAGTTAAGAGTAATATTTTACTGCTTCTTTTTATTTTATATTGCATTTATTTGCCCTTTCAAAAATGTTATAATAGAAAAGGGAAGAGATCATGGCAGCTTTGATTTACAGTACAGTTTTATCTTGTCCAGTATACAGTATGGAACTTATACCTCCAGGGTCTGGATGTGTTTCTTTTCCATTTCCAATTCTATTTTCTTCCTCTCATCTGCAAAATAAAATTCTGTTTACTAAACAAACTAGTAAGAAACAATTGGGTCTAATGACATTTTAAAATATGGAAAGACCTACTTTATTTTAATCACCACATTCAAGGCTTGAATTAGGAGGCACATAGCAGTATGATGTACCACCACCTCTCTCACGACTGCTCTCTTATATGCCAGAGTGTCAGCTCTTATTTTACAGGAATAAGTGTCTAGCTTGTTTCAGTTGCAAAGAAAACCATGGAGATGTAAATTTAGTGCAACTGGTCCAGCAATGTTTGCCCAAGTCCGCAGAGAGCATGACACCATTAGAGAGGTGTAAAGTGCCCCATTCATTTACGTAGTGTTAACTTAGATGCCCAATAATAACATTTCAGATGCCAACTTTGTTAACTACTTCACTGTGCAAAGAATGCAAGAAAGAGGCGGAAGAATCATATTGCTAAATTCTGCACAAATTTACTGGAAGTGGCATCTTATTTTAACCAGAGGGGGGTGGGCTTGGGAGTGTAATCCCATTTATATGTTCCTAATCAAAAAGGAGCTCAGCAGAGGACACAGATATATGTAAACTTCACTTGGGGGGAGGGGCAGCCCAAGGAGTTCAAAGAACATTCATGATCATATTTTGAATGTCTACATGATGCAGTGCAAGAGGCAGACTGAGGTCTTAAGTGGACAGAGCTTATTTTGCCAGCAGAACTTGGGAGAGAACACTTATTGTCCCCCCTCAGTTCTACCCCTGATCAAAATAATATTTCAAGCTTCTACTCACATGTCATTAGCCTAAAAAACAAGCATCATGTGTGTGGAAGGGAAATGGAAACATTCTTTATCTTCCTTTTACTATCTAGCAGCCAGAGCCACTACATAGCTAACAGAAAAGGAGTACTTGTGGCACCTTAGAGACTAACCAATTTATTTGAGCATAAGCTTTCGTGAGCTACAAGTGAGCTGTAGCTCACGAAAGCTTATGCTCAAATAAATTGGTTAGTCTCTAAGGTGCCACAAGTACTCCTTTTCTTTTTGTGAATACAGACTAACACGGCTGTTACTCTGATACATAGCTAACGTTTCCATCACAAATTTGATTTCAACCCTTGCGCCCGCCACCTCCCCCTCTGAAATTGTAGTGTATAAAAATGTGCTGAGAGATTTTTTTCTAGCAAATTCTAAGTAAATCTGGAACACTTTATCTAATTTATCACATAATTGAATTTTTAAAATAGAGTTCAGAGTCTTAAAAATCTAAAAAAGAGAAATAGTTTACTGAACTCATCTAGTAGAGATCTAGTGCATAGGACCAAAGTTTAATTGATAAAACCAATTTAAAGAGCTATATACATTTTAAATATCATTATCAGAATGGGTCAGTGGAAGTTGCAAAGCTAATTTCGGCTCATCAGTAGCTCCAGAGACAGGAGCAGAAGCAGGAGGCAGCAAATAGTGAGAAAAAGTATCTCACTTTCAGAGTCTCCGACACAGAGCATGGGGGACGAACGATGATGCTATTTTTTTGGATCACTACCTGAAGGCCGCTTTTCCCCCAAGCTCTCTCTACCCCCTCCTCCCAACCACATACCATTCCTCAGCTCTTTGCATAGCATCTCCTACAGTCTAAAGGAAAAGAGGAAGAGAAACTGGAGAAAACAGAGGGCTTAAAGGGAGGATACTGGATGATTTTCCCTTCCCTCCTTCATGCTGGCCTCCTGAAGTCTCCAGCAAGTGAGACCCAACAGCAAACCTGAAGAGGATTGTCAGCATCCTTTCACCACCACTTTCAGCAGTCTTAGCATCAAAGGCTGAGGAACAAGCTTAGGCTTGTTAAAGATTAAAAAAGAGTCCTAAGGCTCAGCAGCTGACCACCACTAGTCTCGTAAGCTTCACATGGGGATGGGAGTCCTAGCAAGCAGCTACAGCCAAAAGAGGCACTTCTCAGCAGAACTACCCTAAGACACACACGGGGGGGGGGTGTGAGAGTGAGAGACATGTTATGCAAACTTTTCCTAAAGAAGAAATCAATATTTCTCTCACTCTGCCCAATGAAGACACACTTGTCCCCAAACAAGTCTCCTGCATCATCTATACCCAAAAAACAATTGAGGACAGGGCATAGACTTCAATCCTGACACAGTGAAATTCCACAATGCAGAAGTCTCCCTTCACCATAAGCATAAGGGACCACTTCATTGAACTGAGAGAGAAAGAAATCAGCTTCCTCAATATTCTCTGATGGCACCTGTAGGCCTCAGCTGTTTCCACGAATTGAGACAGCTGCCTATTGGCTCTCAAACAAATTGTCATTGCCGTTCAAAGAAGGCAATGACTTGCTCAAGGAGTTATCACCTGTGTCAAGAAACACCAGAGTGGCATGTTGAAGCACAAAGAGCAAAACCTAATGCAATTTCAGCAATTCCAAGTCTAGCTGATTATCTCAATGGTGTTGAAACAGTCCTGTAGAATCTTTTACCAAACCTATGCCACCAAGGGCGGTGCTGATACAGATTCGTAACTCATCTGGGACTCTTGACTCTGGCTCTCCAGCTGAAGCTTTCAATACCTTCCAGGTAGACTTCTCACTTAATTTCCAGGTATTGGGAGGTGAAGCCAGGAGAATTTTCAGGTACTTGCTCCAAAAAAAACAACAATGAACCTGGTGCTGACTCAATGTAAGGCAAAAGCTTATGGGGTACAACTGGTAACAGCAGCTGGCACCAACCAAAGTCTGATCCAGAGCAAAGCATACGAGTTGAAATTCAAAGTCAAAGATGGCCTGCTAAACCTAGGGTTGTGATTTCAATCCTTGACGGGGCCATTTAGGGATCTGGGGGAAAAATTGGGGATTGGTCCTGCTTCGAGCAGGGGGTTGGACTAGATGACCTCCTGAGGTCCCTTCCAACCCTGATATTCTATGATTCTATACAGATAATCCTAATACTAAGAGTCAGAACACCAAGAGTTTCAGAAGTAAATATTGAAGAGGACAGATGACTGAAGAACCAGTTGTTTAAAAGTATATTTCTGGGAGAATAAAGGTTGACAAGATGACAAAATGTGATGCAGCAATCTAGGAGGTCGTCTTCTCTGAAGATGTTTAGAAAGAAAGAAACTGCTGATTGACTGGAACACCAGTCTATAGGGATGACATAAGATGATCATGCTGGAACCAATGAGTTTAGAAACCTAAGTTTGGAGAAGGCCTTCAACCTACGAATGGGCAACTATCACAGCTATAAGAAAAGGAGTACTTGTGGCACCTTAGAGACTAACCAATTTATTTGAGCATGAGCTTTCGTGAGCTACAGCTCACTTCATCGGATGCATATCGTGGAAACTGCAGCAGACTTTATATACACACAGAGTATAAGTCTGCTGCAGTTTCCACGATATGCATCCAATGAAGTGAGCTGTAGCTCACGAAAGCTCATGCTCAAATAAATTGGTTAGTCTCTAAGGTGCCACAAGTCCTCCTTTTCTTTTGGCGAATACAGACTAACACGGCTTTTACTCTGAAACCTATCACAGCTATATCTTTCAGACTAGCAGCCGTGTTAGTCTGTATTCGCCAAAAGAAAAGGAGTACTAGTGGCACCTTAGAGACTAAGTAGAGTGGAAATCTATAAATTGGTTAGTCTCTAAGGTGCCACTAGCTATATCTTTGGAGATCAAGTCATTCTCTCTTGCAAAGGGCGTTATAACTGAGGCAGGCCTAAATCCCTTGAACATATAATGCCTAACCCTGTTCCTACTGCAGTCAATGCCAGTTTTCACAGATTTCAACAGGGACAAGGACAGGCCATAGGACAGACAAAAAGAGGCTATGTTTACACTATGGGGAATATAGTGGTCCAGCTACGGGACTGTAGCTCCACTGTCATAGCCCCATAGTGTAGATGCAGAAATGAGGTTTTTGTGTAGCTGTAAGAACACTACCTTCCTAACTGACAGTAGCTGTGTCGATCATTCTTCAAGTCAGCCTGGCTGCATCTACAACAGGGGTAAGGTTGGCATAGCTATGATGCTCAGGTGTGTGGATTTTTCACATCCCTGAGCTTCATAGTAATGCCAACGTAAATTTTAAGTGTAGACCAGGCCTGAGAATCTCCCCATCAGAAATTGTGTGGCAATCAAATGCTCAGCAGTTGCATGATCAGCCCCCTAAGTTCCAAGTTCATAATACCTAGTTCTTGTTGATATTTCAGTGCAATTTCTTCTTTTTCCTTCAGATTTTGTTCTTTAATATGCTCCAACTCAAACTGATGTCGGCTCTGTAGAATTGCTACTTCCTGAGCACGCTTATCATTGAGCATCTCCCGTAACTCCACAAGAGCAGTTTCCTTCTCTTTTCTCAAGTTAGACTGCATCAACTCCAGCTGGGATGTGTGCATATTAGACAAACTTAGTCGTAAACCTTCCAACTCGAGATTGTGCAGTGTCTATAGTGGGAAGGGGAAAAACATGGTTTAAATGAAATATATTACCATTTTTCTATACCAGTTTCAATTATATACACACCTCTATATTTATTGCTAGTCTGTTATTTTCATATAAAACATATTTATGGCTGGAAGTGGAATAGCAGAAAAACTAGATTCTAGATCTGATCTAGCTTGCAGAAGCTTTTTATTAATGAGTACAGTCTTTACTATCTCTCCTTCCAGTAGTAAAGTCTGTTTGATATTGTATCCAAACTGTTTGCATTTTCCTCCTCTTAAGTTTATCTACTGATAGAGCATGCCTGCCAGCAACCTGCCTCCCTGCAGCATCTTCAGAAAGTTATGATATGTGAAAAGGAAATTGCAAAAATACACATTATTATTGTCTATAGCATTGCTGCAAATTTCCACTTTTATCCTTTGAGTCCATCACAGTGCATCATAACTCACAAAGCTGTCACTGGCTATCATTTGATATTACAGTAGAGTGAATGACCAATATCTGAAGTGTTGAAATAGAAACAATGATGTAAATATACATTACTCTTGTGCTGCTCACCGATTCAGTTCTGAACTATCAGTTAGCAGTAGGAGCAACTAAGCTTTACAACGGATTATAAAGTTTCCATTCTACATATATACAAATACATATAGCCAATATTTAGGGATTAGACAAAAAATAATTGTATCCTATGTATTTCTAGAATGAAAGGGTGTTTTAAAATGGATTAAATATTTAGAGAGAAGGGAATTTAGGCCCTCAACCTGCCAAACATCATCAATGGGGCTACTCACATACGTATAATTATATTTGCATGTAACAGCTTGCAAGATCAGGGCCTCCACTTGTAAATTCAAGTAATGTTACAATCTTATCTGATACAGCGTCAATAAATATGTAACAATTAAAAGGTCCATGGACTCTTTAGAGGGATATTTGGAGTATTTTTTAATATTTAAATTCAGAGCTTACCTAGTGTGAACTCAATAACAAACTGTAAAACCCATGACAAGGGATGTGACACTCTGACAAAAATACACTCAGTATACACATTGCAGTAAAGTTGTGTGATGGATTACCTTCATGCGATTCATAAGACCACGATGAAGCAAGACTAAGTTTCAGTTTGATTTTCCGCCATACTTTACAATTCCCAATACTGCAGCACATACAACTGCTATTCCATATTTCTAGGGGTCTAGCAACACTAGACAAAGGGTAAAACATTACCTTGCACTAGAACCTTTTTCCTTTGCATGTTAGGTTTGCACAAAAATGCATATCTAGTGATTAGAACACCAAAAAAGCATATTAGGTTCTTATTCTTTGCCTGCCTCTCTCCATTCCGGGAAGTTACTGCAGATCCTTATTTATATTTATGAAGATACGCAAGCTTCTTCCCTTCACAAATTTTGTCAATTTTCTAAAGAATAAGTGGTAAGGTTGAGGACATTGGAGACCCTTCCATAGCAGGTGGTATCTGCAGTCCTTTTAGCGTAACACTCCCTACTGATTCTTCAAATGTAGTCTTTAAAATAACACAAGGCATTCCTCCAAAGACTGCTTATTTTGTTAGAAAAGAGGCTCCTCTTTGCAAGCGAATTAACTGTAAATTGTGACAGCTAGGAAATTTGCCTAAATAATTACTGTGTATACATACTGTACCTGTGACTGGAGCTGAGCATGCTGCATCTCTGTTTTATGTGTACCTTCCATTTGTTGCTGAAGTTCATCCAACAGTTGCTGCTGTTTCTTAATTAGTTCCGCACGTAGTTCTTTCATTTCATCTTCATGTTTAATAATTAGTTCAGCAATTTCACGATCATGTTCTCGTTCATGAACCTGGAGAGAAGAACACGGTGATGCTCTGTACCTCGGGGGAACACCCTACACCCCCAGGTTCATCTTTATAAAATGATTGTGTGGTATGCAATGCAAAGTTTGTCATGTTGAGTGTCTTCAGAAGGCTCATGATGCACTACTGAGCATTCTTGTTACAGTAATATTATAGGTTATAATTTCATGTATGTAGTTAGGAGGCTGAAAACGTATCCACATGGCCCAAAACAAGCCCAGGCAAAATCTCTCCAAGAGCAGAGACACAGTTCACACCTCATCAGAGCAGGTATGGGACAAACCCAGCCCAGCCTCACAGGAACAAAGGATGCTAGCCTAGGCAGCAACAGAAGAATCTGTTAGACTCTCGAGGGAGTCACCCCCCTGCCTTTGGTCAGTTTGGAACTGCGATGAGGTAAAGCTCACCTGACTGTTAAAGGGGGGGGGCAAAGTCAAGAGGGAAGAAAGGACATGATAAAAGGAAGAGACATTTGCCATGCTCTTCCTCTATCTTCCACCTACATCTACAGACACCACACCAAGCGACTGAAGCGCTGATCAAAGGGTAGAGCCTGGCTGAAGAGCAACCAGCCAGCCTGGGTTAGAAGTATCTACGTTTGTAAGGACATTGAAAGTGTTAAAATCAACTTAGAATGCGTTTTGCTTTTATTTCATTTGACCAAATCTGACTTATGTTTTGACTTATAATCACTTAAAATCTATCTTTATAGTTAATAAATATATTTGTTTATTCTACCTGAAGCAGTGCGTTTGATTTGAAGTGTGTTAGAGGCTCCCCTTGGGATAACAGGCCTGATACATATCAATTTCTTTGTTAAATTGACAAACTCATAGAAGCTTGCAACGTCCAGCGAGCATAACTGTACAATGCAAGACGGAGGTTCCTAGGGTTGTGTCTGGGACTGGAGGTATTGCCTAGTATCATTCAGTTGCACAATCCAAGGAGTAGCTTACATGCCAGAGGCTGTGTGTGAACAGCCCAGGAGTGGGGGTTCTCACAGCAGAGCAGGGTAAGGCTGGCTCCCAGAGTCAAGGATTGGAGTGACCTAGCAGATCACCAGTCTGGATAAAACCAGAGGGGAACGTCACAAACACAGCACAGAATTTTTACTGCATTGTGGACATTTTACACTTTTGTCCTTCCAGCATTAACAAGCCATTAGGACAGTAGTCTCAAAGTCAACAAAACTAACTATACTCTTGCAAAAACCCAACTGATTTTCCGCCTCTGAAGAAATCATTTCATTTTGACTGAATACAACTGGACATGCAGCATCTTTCAAAAAAAAAAAAAAAAAAAAAAAAAAAGCCTGTTACAAAAAATACCTTTTTAATTAATCCAATCTGTTCTTTTCGTTCCGCCTCCAAGTTCTGCTGTTTTTCCACCTTCCCTTTTATTTCTGCATTTAACTCTTCTATCTGAAAAGAATGATGACATTTTTTGAAACTACCATTTACCAAGCATTCAGAAATACAAATCCTTGTGTCATTATCAGAGCTACCTACCTCTTCCTGGTGTACCAGATTCATTTTTCTTGTTTCAGAAAGATGCTGAGATTCCGTTTTACTAATTTCCTCTTCATAATGTCTCCTCATCTCAGACTGTACCTCCTGTATGGCTTGTGCAGATTTCTGCACAGTTTCCTGAAGGTGATTCTCCAGTTCCACCTGAACCTTCTTCAAATGAGCCACTTCCTCAGTCAGTTTGTTTTCTTTCTCAGTGTATTCCATTTTTTTGGCCTGCATTTCAATATTAAGTTTCTGGAGTTCCAAGTTACTGGATTTCAATTTCTCCTCAAATTCCACTCTTTCACACTCCAGTGCTTTTTCATAGTTTTTCGTTTTCATATTCAGATCGTGTATATTTTTTTCAAGATTCTTTTCCAGAGCTTTTTCTGCTTTTATTAGATTCTGCTCTACAGTACACAATCTTTCTTGTAAGGTTATATTCTCCTTAAGTGTGAGTGTTAAACTTTGTTCTTTATTATTGATTTCAGCTTTGAGAGCCTCCTGTTCTTTCAGTAATGTCTCTTCTAATATGGTTTTCTGACCAAGAAGTTCGGCCATAGTCTGGTTTTTGGCCTTCTGGGCATCAAGCTGGGCTTGCATTTGATCCCTTTGGCTTTGCAAAGCAGCTAGTTGACGTCCAAAAAGGGACTGTACCTCACTCGTTACTGAATCAGAGGCAGTTTTCTGCTCTTGAACTTCTTTTACTAATTGCTCCTGAGCCCTCAATTGCAACATCAATGTTTCTCTTTCCTGCTTGAAGTCCTTTATCATCTCCTGCCAAGTATGTGACTTTGAAGCCTTTATTCCAAGCCCTAATTCTTCAATACAAACTGTTAGATCTCTGTCTTCACCCTGCTTTTCCAGAAAGTTTATTTTGTTTTCAAGCTCTTTCTCCTTCTTTTCTTTTTGATCAAGTTCTTCTTCACAACGAACCCGTGCTTCTCGCTCCTTATTCAGTTCTAAATGTGTAATGGAAAGTTCAGCTGTTGCTTTTTCCCATTTTTCAAGAGCTTCTTGGGTCTCCTGATAGGATTTGTTCAGTGCTGACTCTTTTTCACTGAGCTCCTTAAATAGCTTAACACATCTCTCCATCAAGCCAGCTCTCTCTTCATCCTTCACCTCCTTACAGTCACTTACTTCACTTTGCAGCAAGGAATCACCTGACAAATATGAAGCAAAAGCCTCAGCTTCCAGCTCAGTTTCATCAGAAGTCCCTTGCAGTACACTGCTAATACACTTTTGTTCATCAGGGCTAAACATTAACTTATCTGCTGCAGAGTCCATGTTGGATTCTAAAATGATGTTACTATCTAGCACAAATCTATCCTCTTCAGTATCAAGAAGTTCAGAATTGTCTGATATGTATGACTGCTCCTGTCTCTCAGTGGAGACAAGATATTTCGTTAATATGTCAGCATCTTCTATGAAAGATCCTAGTTCTACCATATTTTCTTCAGACGTGTTATCGGCTTCATAACTTTTATGGTCCTTCGCTGCTTTGACCATCTTTAGATTTTTCTTTGTGTCTTCTAATTCAGCTTTAAAAGAGTCCACTCGCAAGCCATGTTGGAACTCTAGTTCTTCACGAACTAACTGTATTTCACCTTCATGCTGGCATAATTTATTCTGCATCTTCTCAAGCTCTGCTTTCTGTGATGCTGACACCTCCTGTAACAATTTTTCCTCCTGCTCTAACTTTTTTAGCTTCAAATTATAGACAGTTATTTCTTCATCGTGCTTATGCTTTAAATCTTTGTTATTTTTTGTCTCAAGGAGCAGCTTTTCACTTAATTCCTGGATGAAGGAGTTGAGCTTTTGGATCTCATCATTCAAATATTCCTTTTCTTGTTTAGATTCCTGTGCTTCCTTAGCCTGTTTTTCTGCATTAGTAAGCTGTAATTTGAGGTCTTCTACTAAATCCTTATACCTCAGCTCAATCTCAGACCTCTCTCTCTGAAAATCCTCCATTTGATTTTTAAGTTGCTTGCACAAGTTTTCTCTATGAATTTCAGACTCATGCAGTTTATTATTTAAATCAATAATTATTGCATTTAAATTCTGAAAATCTTCATCAGAATTCAAAGCAGAGAGTTCTCTTTTTATCTGCTCATGTTCATTTTTATATTTTTTATTCATCTCTTCTTCACAATCCTCCTTAACTCTTACTATCTCTTTTCTGTAACACTCTTCCAAACCAGTCCTCAAATCTTGCAACTGTCTACAAATATCCCTTTTGTGATTTGCTTTCAATTCTTCAATATATTCCTGTTCTTTCATCTTGGCTGAAGCAATTTCATTTTTTAACTCCATTATCTCTGTGTCCCGGAGAGAAAGTGTGTGTTGTAGGAGAGATAAATTAGACCTTTCTGATGTCACTATATCTTGAAGACCTTTAATTGTTTCTTCTTTTTCTCCTATATCGTTGTACATCTGTTGCATTGTATTATTCAGATTCTCTTCCTTCTGTGCAAGCAGACTCTCTTTATCTTTGGTATTCTTAAAAATAAAATATTACACATGAACTAAACACCCTGCTATTTCCATTTCTTTGAAAATTCCAGTTTAACATTCTCCTCCCTTCCCTTCCACAAGAATTTTTTTTCCCCTTAAGTGGAGGGCTTGCTGATTTGTCTATGCCAAGAAGAAAGCTCGCCCTTGAGAGTGTGAGGACTTACACCATTGATTTATGGTGTGTTTAAAGGAAATGTGTCCACTTTTAAACTATATTTTAAAATCACAATTCCACAGTATTAGGATGAATGCATATTAGTGACTGTGGTTCCACAGTACACTAACTTTTAAAAACAGATTTTTTTCTCAATGTCACAACAGGCAAGTGTGAACATTGCACAGGTGTTTTAACTGTGCATCATCATATCTGGGTTTCTTGTATGACCTCAGTTGAATTTCTTGGTTTAGAATGCTTATTTCGGGGGTATTTACAACATTCTTGTAATTCTCTCCTGACCCCCAAATCACTGATGTGTATTCTCAGCCTTCAATGCAATTTAAGGGTTTTTATTCAGGAATTCCCTTGCATTTTAAATTAACATTTTCACTCATGAACACTAAATAAGAAACCCAAAGAGACTGCTACTCGTGATACTTCTAATCACTTGAACGTGGTTAGTATTTTTTAACTTTTAGGGCCAGATTCACCAGTGTATGCTAGCTGCTCTGTACTACTCTGAAAGAGTGCTAAGCAGCCAAAGCATACTGGCCAACTAAACTGGGTTTACAGGTGTTCTGTATCAGCAGAGGAACGCATCAGAGGGCAGAATGCACTCCTCGGTTTCCCCTTCCCTCCTGCCTTTTCTGTTGAATAGATCTAGTGCAACAGGTAGATTTTTTAGTATGAAAAATAAGCTTTGTAGCATTATTTTTGATAACTGAACATTTCTCCTTCAGCACAGGCTGGCACATAAAATCTTCTATTTCAGAGAAACTCATGAAGAGCTGTCCTATTTCAAAACAGCCTCCATTACCCCTCATTCTCAATGGGACTGTGGTCACAGCCTGCCCTTAACAAAGATAGCTACTGCCTTCCATTGTTCCCAATGGAAACAAAGTCAAACTGCCTTCAGGGAAGGCTGCTAGGGGTAGAGAGGAGCAGATGAATGGAAGCAGTGGCAACCTTTGCTAATGACAACCTCTGCCACCAGTCTCATTGAGAAGATGACAAAATGACAACCCTTTTGAAAGAGGGTGGTTCTTTGAGTGTGTGTCTGAACAAAAACCAGTTACCTTCCTTTTCGTAACCGTTGTTCTTCGAGATGTGTTGTTCATGTCCATTCCATTGTAGATGTGTGCACCCACATGCACAGTTGTCGGAGATTTCTGCCTTAGTGGTATCTGTAGGGCCGGCTGTGGGGCCCCCCTCTAGTGGCACTCCCATGCGCTGGTATATTAGCCGCCGCCAGCCCGGTGCCCTCTCAGTTCCTTCTTGCCAGCAACTCCGACAGACGGGCAGGAGGGCAGGAAATGGAATGGACGTGAGCAAAACATCTCGAAGAACAACAGTTACGAAAAGGTAGTAACCTTTTTCTTCTTCGAGTGCTTGCTCATGTCGATTCCATTTTAGGTGACTCACCAGCAGTATCCATGGAAGTGGGCTCAGAGTTCACAGCTTAGCGGCTTGCAGTACTGCCCTACCAAAGCCAGCATTGGCCCAGGCCTGCTGAGTCAGGGCACAGTGGGATGTAAAAGTGTGGACAGATGACCAGGTGCCTGCTCTACAGATGTCCTGCATCGGCACATGGGCCAGAAAGGCTGCCAAAGAGGCCTGCGCCCTGGTAGAGTGACAATCGCTGGGGGAGGCATCTACCCTTGGTCATAGCAGAAGCAAATGCAGGCAGTGATCCAAGAAGTAATTCTTCTTTGAAAGGTAGTCCGGTATCCACTCATTCTGTTGGCCACAGCGACGAATATTTGCGTCAACTTACAGAACGGCTTGATCCTGTCCATGTAGAAGGCCAGAGCCTTTCTGACGTCCAGCGCATGCAGCCTGCGCGCCTCCTCCGACCTACGCGGCTTCAAAAACAAGACCATTAAGTAAATGTCCTGACTCGAATAAAACTGAGAGACTACCTTGGGAAGGAACGCTGGGTGCGGCCTTAATGGGACCTTGTCCTTGTAGAAGGCCATGTAAGGCGGCTCCGAGGTAAGCGCCCGAACCTCGGATACCCAGCAGGCCGATGTCACCGCGACCAGGAACACAACTTTCCAGGAGAGGAGGAGGGAGCAGGAAGCCAGCGGCTCGAAGAGAGGACCTGTAAAGCTGTGACAGCACCAGATTCAAGTCCCACAGAGGGACGGGGTCCCTGATATGCAGGTAGAAGTGCTCTAGGCCCTTAAGGAATCTGGCCATGATATCCTGAGCAAAAACCGACCTGCCCTCGAACGGAAGGTAGAAGGCCGAGATGGACCTTGATCGATGAGAGGGACAAGCCCTGGAGCTTGAAGTGCAGGAGATAGTCCAGAATAAGCTGCAGCGAAGCCCACTCAGGACAAACACCTTTGTCCGCAATCCAGCAGGGAAATCATTTCCACTTGGCCAGATAGGCCACTCTGGTGGAGGGCTTCCTACTTTCCAACAGAATGCGCTGAACCTCAGCCGAGTACTGCTGCTCCTGCGCGTTTAGCCATACAGCAGCCAAGCCGTCAGATGTAACTCCACCAGGTTGGGATGCAGAAGACTGCAATGGTTCTGGGACAATAGGTCTGACCTGAGCGGTAGCTAGAATGGGATAGTCACCGAGAGGTCCAGCAGAATGCTGAACCAGTGTTGGCGCAGCCAAGCCAGAGCTGTGAAGAATACCCTCACCTTGCCTGGTTTGATTTTCAGGAGGACTCTGGGTAGCAATGGCACTAGAGGAAAGGAGTACATCAGGGCTCCCAACCATGGGAGCAGAAAGGCATCTGACAGGGCTCCTCTGTCCATGCCCCCAGTCGAGCAGAAGATGTAGCATTTCCTGTTCTGCCTGAAAGCAGGTCCACCCGGGGAGTTCCCCACCCGAAGAAGATGGAACTGACCACCTCCGGATGAAGGGACCACTCGTGGAGAGACGAGAACGTCCTGCGGAAGCAATCTGCCAAAGCGTTTTTGGACCCTGGAAGGTGAGCGGCCACGAGATGAATGTTGAGCTATAGACAGAAGTCCCAGAGCCAGAGGGCTTCCTGGCAAAGGGCAGATGACCTGGCTCCACCTTGCGTGTTAATATAGAAGACCATAGTCATGTTGTCCGTCAGGACCTGAACCACCCTGTCTTGTATATGAGATAGAAAGGCTTGGTAGGCTAGTCATACTGCTCTGAGTTCCCTGACATTGAAATGCAGGGAACGATCGCGACTGGACCAATGACTTGAGTGCTGAGAGCGCTCAGGTGGGCTCCTCAGCCCAGGTTCGAGGCGTCGGAGACAAGGTTCACCGACAAGGCCAGGGCCACGAAGGGAACTGCTTCTAACACCAGCATAGGATCCTGCCACCAGACAAGGGATGACCATACACTGTCCATGCTGACCACCCGGTCCATGCTGGGCCAGTTAGGGACATAGACCAATGCCAGCAAAGCCTGAAGAGGTCTGAGGTGGAGTCATGCATGCCCGACCACATAAGTACATGCTGCCATGTCGCCGAACAGCCTCAGGCACACGATGAGGTCCACCATGGCCTGGAATGGAGTATCGGGGAAGGCAGCCCTGGTCCAAGTGGAGTCAAGGTCTGCACCGATTAATTGTGTATGTTGTACTGGCGTTAAAGGTTGATTTTTTTCTCGTTTATTATCAACCCCAGGTCGCGAAAGGTGGAACATTCCAGGTCGAGATGTCTCCACATATGATCCAGAGATGGGCCCTTTATCAACCTGTCACCAAGGTACAGGTATATTTGGACCCCCCGAAGTCTCAGGTAAGCAGCCACTGGCACTATAAGCTTTCTTTGAGGTCGGCAGAATAGATAAGGAGGTTTGCCACACCAATTTGGTTATTTCGAGCACCCCTGGGTGGACGGGAAATGCCATTTTTGCCGGTGTGGTGGCCAAGATGACATTGAAAAGGTTGTCTGCCTCCTCAGCGACCTCCTCAATCTGCAGACCAAGATTTCCAGCCACCCATTTAAGGAGGACCTGGTGCTCCTTAAAATCGTCCAGGGGACTGCAATGTGGGAGGTTCTGGCCACCACCTTGCCCAGGGACGATTGTGTCGCCAGAGGGATGCTGTCATCCCCTCCTTGTCGGAGGAGGGCTCCCTCGGTGCCAGGGTACAGTGTGCGGGCTCTGCTTCTTTGAAAACTCATGGCAATTGTGGGAAGTCCCGGACGACTGGAAAAAGGCAAATGTAGTGCCCATCTTTAAAAAACGGAAGGAGGAGGATCCTGGGAACTACAGGCCAGTCAGCCTCACCTCAGTCCATGGAAAAATCATGGAGCTGGCCCTCAAGGAATCAATTCTGTAGCACTTAGAGGAGAGGAAAGTGATCAGGAACAGTCAGCATGGATTCACCAAGGGCAAGTCATGCCTGACTAATCTAATTGCTTTCTATGATGAGATAACTGGCTCTGTGGATGAAGGGAAAGCAGTGGACGTGTTGTTCCTTGACTTTAGCAAAGCTTTTGACACTGTCTCCCACAGTATTCTTGTCAGCATGTTAAAGTAGTATGGGCTGGGTGAAAGCACTATAAGGTGGATAGAAAGCTGGCTAGATTGTCGGGCTCAACGGGTAGTGATCAATGGCTCCATGTCTAGTTGGCAACCGGTATCAAGTGGAGTGCCCCAAGGGTCGGTCCTGGGGCCGGCTTTGTTCAATATCTTCATAAATGATTTGGAGGATGGTGTGGATTGCACCTTCAGCAAGTTTGCAGACGACACTAAACTGGGAGGAGAAGTAGATATGCTGGAGGGCAGGGATAGGATACAGCGGGACCTAGACAAATTGGAGGATTGGGCCAAAAGAAATCTGACGAGGTTCAACAAGGATAAGTGCAGGGTCCTGCACTTAGGACGGAAGAATCCAATGCTACAGACTAGGGACCGAATGGCTAGGCAGCAGTTCTGCAGAAAAGGACCCAGGGGTTACAGTGGACAAGAAGCTGGATAGGAGTCAACAGTGAGCCCTTGTTGCCAAGAAGGCCAATGGCATTTTGGGATGTATATGTAGGGGCATTGCCAGCAGATCGAGGGACGTGATCGTTCCCCTCTATTCGACATTGGCGAGGCCTCATCTGGAGTACTGTGTCCAGTTTTGAGCCCCACACTACAAGAAGGATGTGGAAAAATTGGAAAGCGTCCAGCGTAGGGCAACAAAAATGATTAGGGGACTGGAACACATGACTTATGAGGAGAGGCTGAGGGAACTGGGGATGTTTAGTCTACGGAAGAGAAGAATGAGGGGGGATTTGATAGCTGCTTTCAACTACCTGGAAGGGGGTTCCAAAGAGGATGGCTCTAGACTATTCTCAGTGGTAGCGGATGACAGGACAAGGAGTAATGGTCTCAAGTTGCAGTGGGGGGAGATTTAGGTTGGATATTAGGAAAAATTTTTTTACTAGGAGGGTGGTGAAACACTGGTATGTGTTACCGAGGGAGGTGGTGGAATCTCCTTCCTTAGAAGTTTTTAAGGTCAAGCTTGACAAAGCCCTGGCTGGGATGATTTAATTGGGGATCGGTCCTGCTTTGAGCAGGGGGTTGGACTAGATGACCTCCTGAGGTCCCTTCCCACCCTGATATTCTATGATTCTATGATTCTTCCGCCACGGTACCATTTTCCAGTTGCAGGACCAGCTGTGCCTCAGCTGATTTGGCTGATGCGGCCAAGGGGGGCTGGGAGTACTGGACCGGTATTACCGGCAAACACCCCCCCCCCCCGGATTCCAGTATGGCCCCTGCTGCGTTGGCACCATTGCCAGAGCCACCTCCATCTCCCATGTTGCAGGAGAGTCACCTTGTCTCTGCGATGGGCTAAAATTGCAGTCCGACCCTGACCACTGTCCCTCCGGTGACCACAGTGGGGCCATTGAGGCCTGGGTCTGCCTACAGACCCTGGTAGGTGATAGACGGGAGGGACAGGTACCAGGGTGAGTACGAACAACATCGAGATCCTGAACAAGCCCTCTAGGACGGAGACTGACGACGACGAGACCTTCTGGGAGAGGGTGTTTGGAGTCTAGGCAACCTATGGCTAGACGGTCATTGGTACTGGAAGCAGCAGCATGAGTCTGGAGTCCCATGACTAGTAGAAGGGGATCTTGATGGAGATCTAGGCCTTCTGGCCAGCAAGCCAGACTGTGGTGCCAGGTACCGAGGTCACAGCGAGGGGGACTTGCGCCTGCGACCCAGCAACCTAGGACGTCCTGCCAGTCTACGTGGCAGCACCCCGGTAGTTTTCCCCTTCGGTGATGTGAGCGGAGCTGAATCGGTCACTTGGCAAGGCATCTGCGGAGCCAGTCAGCCTTGTTCCTTAGCCCCCGGGAATGCTTTGGGCACTGAAGGCCCCAACACTAGCTGTGAACTCCTGCCGCTGCCTGGAATAGGGGGCGGGTCCCTGGCCGGGCTGGTGGGTCCGACCTCTACAGCACCCCCATGAAGGCACATAGCGGGCACATGGCTTATCACAGGTCCCTTACTCAAGGCCCCTCTCCCCTTCCGTGCCAAGGGGCTTCTTTTCTTCAGCCTCTTCTTCAGCGCAGGCAAAATGGAATGGTCCAGGCCAAGTCAGGCACCAGCGGTGTGCTGCACGCCGAGGCCAAAGTGCTGAGCATGGTGCCGCGCTGGAGGGTTCTGACACCAGACAAAGAGCCACCTCCATCAATAACGCCCTCAAGCAGATATCCCACTCTTTCTGGGTCCGCAGGCGAAAGTTCTTACAGATGCGACACCTGTCTTTCCCATGACCTTCACCCAGACACTTAAGACAGCTATTGTGCGGACTGCTGATTCGCATTCGCATGCCCCATGACACACACGGCTTGAAGCCAGGGAAGCAGGGCATGCCGGCTCGGTGCAAAGTCCCCACTGAGACTCTCTTGACTAACTAACACTATCAACTATCTATGAAACTATATACAAACACCACTAAACCAGTCAATGGATAACCACTGCTGCTCTTGCAAAGCAAGACAGGGTGCTCCAACCAACCGTCACAGGTCGTAAGAAGGAACTGAGAGGGTGCAGGGCTGGCGGTGCCTGATATACCGCCACATGGGATATACCGCCACAGCCAGCCCTACAGATACCACTAAGGCAGAAATCTCTGACAACTGTGCACTTTAGGTGTGCACACACCTAACAACATCGAGATCCTGGGCTGGGAGTACTGGACACCTAAAATGGACTCGACATTGAGCAAGCATTCGAAAAATAATGCTCTTCAGCTTCTGCTAAAATGAGAAATTTTCATTTACGAAGAATAACGGGAAAAGTGACCATTAATTGTAAGTATTTCTTTTCAAGAACTACCCAGTGCACTAAATCTACTTAATATTTATCTCCCTACCAATTTGTGTGTAGTTTGTGTAAATGCCTGAGATTAAATCATTCAGGACAAAATATGACCTGACACAGGGTGCTGTACTGGTTAAAGGACTCATTAGTAAATTAATTTTAACTTAAACCAATTAAATGTATTTACTTGTCAATTCTTAGAAAATTTCATTCTATACTCAAAGAGCACATGCTTTAATTCTGGGGAGCAGAGTGTATTCTTCATAACCAACAAAGAAGTTGAATCCCTGCTTTAGACAAAACATTCAACTTAACTTTAATTATGGAGCCACAACCATTACCTCTATAATAAAAATAAATTTGTAGGACGTTCCCCAAAGGGTAATATTTTAAAGTATCAGACTGGGAATCTTAAATCGGTTGTGTTGATATAAAGTATATATTTAATGAACAAATCTATGACTCTGGAGACCAACAGAAGCTTTCACTTATCTTTATGTCTGAAGCGAACATGATTACAGATATACAATTAAGTTTTGTTCTCATTTAGACCTTAAGGGTAACTCCTGAAACATTCTTGTATAACTATAGAATAATCATCCTACACCTATACAGCACCTTTCACTCCAATGAATCAAAGCAATCTCCACACAATCTCTAACACCTCTACACATGGATCACTTCAATAACAATTGAAATGCAGCCACTTTGGGGATGAAGCATCTCAACATTATACACCAGTTTAGGTCTAGTAGCGAAGACCACCATCTACAACTGAAATTGCAGGGTGAATTTAGACAGAAAGAATGTAATGACCCGAATTTAAATGTAGTCAGGACCTAGTCATTATCTCTTAGAAAGATTGCTATCAATCCCTAACTGTTAAGATCTTGATTTTTTTGTCTCATCTAAGTCAACACCTCCAAAAGAACAGTAATCTTCCCCTAACATCATGCTAAAGAATGGGTTCAGTACCACTGATCCACAGCCCTTTACAGAAACATCAGCACTACTTCATGCAGAATCTAAGTGTTCATTAGTGGGCTCTCTTCCAAAAACTTTTAAAAGCAACACAGCGTAACCCTGCTTGGATTGCAAGATCACATTACAAGGCTATATTCTAACACAAAGTTAACTGTGACTGGCACATTTAAGAGAGGGGGTTTTTTTACCTTTTGAGAAGACTCCAGTTTTACTGCCAGGTCATATGCTTTTTGATGCATTATCTGCAATTGAGTACTTTGTTCCTTCAGTCTGTTCTGAAACACAGCCATCTGCTCCTGGGCTTGACATAATTCACTTTTTCCAGGAATTCTACTTTTCAGAAGCTCATTAGCCTAAATGCACAAATATTTTTTTATAGTGAGGGTAAACAAAAATTTACTCACATATACAGTAACATGAGTTCTTCAAGAAGTGTTGTCCAAATGCATATTCCACTCTAGGTGTGCATGCACCCCACAGCTAGAGATTGGAGTTGAGTTTTTTTTGCTAGTGGTGTCTGTTCAGCTCATGCATGCACACCCCTACTTTCCTCATGCCCTGTTGTGAGGGTATATAGCATTGTGTGGGTCCAACTGCTACTCCAGTTCCTTTTCTACTGCAGAGCCCATAATAGCACAGAAGTACTCGAAAGCAAAGGGGAAGAAAGGCAAGTCATGGAATACACATGGGCAGCATCTCAAAGAACTCCAGTTACTGTACAGGTGACAATGGAGGGTTAAGTAGGTTATAGATTGTTGTAATGAGCCATAAATCCAGTCTCTTTATTAAGTCCATGATTTTTGGTGTCTAGCAGAGTCTTATCCACCACTGATTGAAGAACTGCAGTATCAAAAGAGGTATCTGCTCTAGAAGCCTTTACCAACGAATAATGTCTAGAAGAACTGTGACTGGAACCCCAGGTGGCAGCTTTGCAGATATCCCCAATGGAAACGCTCCTGAGGGCAGCCACTGAGGCCTGGTTAAATGAGCCCCAAGATCAGCTGGTGGGACTATTATCTCATAACATGATTCAATACATCATGAAACCACTTAGACAATGGTGGTTGGGTGGAAACTGGAGTATTCACTCTTCATACTCTCTGTAAACAAAACAAAGAGCCTCAGGGAAGATCTAAAGGACTGGTTCTTGGGAGATGAAAGGCTAACGCCCTACAAACATTCAGAGTACGTAATCTAGCTTCATCATGATTAGAATGAGGTTTTGGAAAAAAAATAATATTCTGATTTAAATGGAGCTCAGACACCATCTTGGATATAAACATGAGTATAGCCTGACTCTGATTGGTATTGTCTGGAGAGTCTGTACCACTGACAGTCTAGTATCTCATAGGCAGAGGTAACTGTAACCCCGCTGACAACAGAGGGGATATCTACGTGGTGCCAATGCTGGAGATGGAGCAGAGCCCTGGGTCACAAACATTCCGTGTAACAAAGTGCTCAGTACTGGCTCACCTGGTGGTGCTTATGGTCTAGTTGGTTCAAAGCCTTTTTCCAGAGCCAATGGTTTCACAAGTGCCAAAGGTTTAGAGGCAGACAGTACTTTCTCAGTACTGAATAGGTCTGTATTACTGATAGATTCTGCACTTGGGACGGACACAGTGGTCTTTTATTTCAATACTGAGCTGTCAATATGATGTCCTTTCACAAAACCTCATCAGGGCATCATCAAAACCTCATCAGGACCCATACCAGGACAGGAGATCTCCTTTGGAGCAGAGCAAAGATCTTTTTCCCCAAAGATTTAGATGGATGTTGTAATAGGAAGAGGGCCTGAAACACAAGCCCTTGTTTCAGAGGCCTGATATGAGGCTTTAGGACAGGGCTAAAGTAGTGGTCAAAGCTTTGCTGATATAAAGCAAAGTCAAGTTGTGAGCAAGAGGCAGGCCCTGCACCCAGAATCTGGCAAGAACAGGGCTAATATTGCAAAAACACACATTCCGAAAAGGTGCTAGGCACAGAGCACTCACGCAAACACACTCCAGAAGGGTGGTACCAGAACACCTCAATATCAACACATTCCCCAAAGATAACAGGAACACGCTAACCTTTCTTAAAGATAAGGTCAGGATGACAGTATGATGAATAGAGATGTTTTGATCAAACCAACACGTACAAGGTAATGGGTGGCACCTAGATACATCAGAGGGACAATATGTAACTTGTTGGTATCTGGGTATAAAGAGGCACCTCAGAGGGAGTATCTTTGTCCACCCAAAGAGATAGTGGGAAGTCCTGCCACTAATTAAGCTGTGTCCATTGTCACGGGCATACATGCATTGAGGGCACTTGTAGCAAGTATAAGGCACCAGTACTATGCTTCATCAACAATAAACCTGGCCAGGTGCCTTTGTACCTTAACAGATCTTGTGGTCATTGGGTGATTCACTCGAGGTCTGCTGTGCCAGCTACCTGCGCAGAGCTGGGACAGCACAAAGAGGGAACACACACAGCCAACATCTGAGGACAGAGGTCTGCTCCGTATCTCTTTGAAAGAGTGTGTCTCACTACCCTCTCGTAATGCCTTCTAAGGCTTCCTACCTAAGTCCTTTGAGGAGTGAGCCCTGAAGCTAACACACATAGTACTACTCATTCCTGCAGTCCATTGTACGGGAGGGAGAATGGGTCAGACAGTCCCAGGTTTGAGATTGCCTGCATAGAGTGGTCTAACAAATGCATTTTCAGCCTTGCTTCCCTGAATGTTTTTGTCTTCAGAATGATATGCATACACCACACTTAGCAAGAACTCCCCTAAACACAACAGAAGTGAATATCATTAAGGGGAAAAGCTTCCCCATAAGACCCACAAAATTTAAATCCAGGGGATTTGGGGGCATTACAGAAAAACTAAATTTCTCCACTAAATATAGAGGTTAGGGTGCAACAGGCACACAAGCAAATCCTTATGATTAACTCATATTTAATTATACTAAGAACTATTTGTAAAACTATGCACAACTCTCAAAAGCTAAGCTAAGATGTGCAGACACTGAACTGGCCTGTCTCAGGACAAGGTGGTGAGAAAGAACAGGAGTGGTGGTTGGTTCCCCATCATGTACCTTCAGTACAGACCACAAGGATACTCAGAGCACATCCACAGAGCAAAGGGACTCTGTTAGCAAAAAAAAATTCTCCCATCCCAGGTGCATGCTTTCCTAGAATAGAATACACATATGGACAGGGACTCAAAGAACTCATAAGACAGGGGTGGGCAAACTACGGCCTGCGGGACGGATCTGGCCCCTTAGGGTTTTGGATCCGGCCTGCGGGATTGCCAACCGTAGGGCACCACAGGCCCCACACCACTCCCAGAAGCAGCCAGCACCACGTCCCTGAGGCCCCCGGAGGAGGTGGACAGAGGGCTCTGCGTGCTGCACTTGCCTGTGGGTACCTCCCCTGAAGCTCCCATTGGCCGGGAATGGGGAACCGCAGCAAATGGGAGCTTCGGGGGATGTACCCACAGGCAAGTGCAGCATACGGAACTCTCTGCCCCCTCTCCCCCAAGGGCAGCAGGGCCGGCCGCTCCAGGTAAGCGGCACCGGGCGGGAGCCCAAACCCCTCACCCTAACTCCCTGCCCTGAGCCCCCTGCCTCCACCCCAACCCCCTGCCTGCACCCTGCACCCCTCCTGCACCCCAACCTCCTGTCTTGAGCCCCTGCCTGCACCCCAACCCCCTACCCCGAGCCCCCTGCCACACCCCGCACTGCACTCCAACCCCCTGCCCTGAACCCCTCCCGCACTCTGCATCCCTCCCTGCACCACTGCCCTGAGCCCCCTCCTGCACCCCAACCCCCTTCCCTGAGCCCCCTCATACACCCCACACCCCTCCTCTGCCCCAACCCCTTGCCCTGAGCCCCTTCCTGCACACTGCATCCCCTCCCACACCCCCTCCCGCACCCCAACCCCCTGACCCAGCCCTACATTCATGGTCCTGCAAGCAGTTTACCCACCCAGATGTGGCCCTTGAGCCAAAAAGTTTGCCTACCCCGTCTTAAGATGTCCTCAGTGTGTGTATGTGTAATATACATTACATACTTTATATAATATCAGTCATGCACAAAGACTCTGTATCATAGATTTTAGCCTTGTAAAAAACAAACAAAATTATAATCTGATTTTCAAATTGCTATTTTTTTAAAATGTACTGAGTACTTATGTATCACTAGTATTGCCATAGTGCCCGATGGACCACGACCCACTGTGCTAGATGCTATACTAACACAGAACAAAAGGACATCCCGTGTCCCAAAGCACTTACAATTTACTTACCTGAAGTTTTCCTGCAAGGACAAAAGAGATAAATGTGGAGATGTGGATAAACTGGAAAGAGTCCAGCGAAGGGCAACAAAAATGATTAGGGGTCTGGAACACATGACTTATGAGGAGAGGCTGAGGGAACTGGGATTTTTAGTCTGCAGAAGAGAAGAATGAGGGGGGATTTGATAGCTACTTTCAACTACCTGAGAGGTGGTTCCAGAGAGGATGGTTCTAGACTATTCTCAGTGGTGGAAGAGGACAGGACAAGGAGTAATGGTCTCAAGTTGCAGTGGGGGAGGTTTAGGTTGGATATTAGGAAAAACCTTTTCACTAGGAGGGTGGTGAAACACTGGAATGTGTTATCTAGGGAGGTGGTAGAATCTCCTTTCTTAGAAGTTTTTAAGGTCAGGCTTGACAAAGCCCTGGCTGGGCAGGGGGTTGGACTAGATGACCTCCTGAGGTCCCTTCCAACCCTGATATTCTAGGATTCTATGATTCTATGAGATGAGTCACTTTCAAAGTGACTCATTTACTCATTCACATTTACAAAAAGTTCTGCTGAAAAGTGAGGGGAGGTTTCAGGTTTGCCAATCGTCAAAATTGTCAGTGTACTAACAACCAAACGACTTGCATCAAATTATCTCCCTTTGCTTTAAGCATATCCTACACTGGCTTACAGAGCAAGCCCTAACACCAACTGTAAAATAATAAACTAAGTACTTTGTCACTAGTAATAGCAGCTCATGCAACACAAACAAAATGTTATTTAATCCTGAAAAATGTCCCATCCAAAACAAAATTCTATTTCTACTGTGCAAGAAATGTAATCCAATATCCCCTCCAGCTGAGGACAGGATTTCAACCACCATCAACCACTTCTTTCTTTTTTCCTTCTCTCTAGCTACACCTGTTTTCCAGGTAGTCAATCACTGCCAGTTTGGTTTCCTAAACACCTGGCAAGAAAAATTATAAATGTGTACTTTGGCCCATCCAGCAAGCCTTATGGGACCTGCACAGGTAATACATAGGTACTCAAATACTATGGTGACGGAACCATACGAGGCCTGGAATTAATTAT